ATCTCCCTGCATCTGTCCTTCTCAGCAGAAATCTTTGATTGCTGTCTTGTTAGCCAGTTTAAATTGTATGGGAGCAAGGCAGTCTTTTCCTTTCCTTGGCACTGTCTGCGAGGGAGAGAGCCCTTTTGATGGATTGGTGACTCACGTACTCTGAGTTCTAGGTTTGTTTTTGTTTTTTTTTTTTCCTACAGAATCACACAGGGAGATTCTTTTCTAAGTGCATATTTGATAAACCTTTTCATCCTGTTTGCTTCCCTTTGTTCTCTCCCTCCCAAACTGAATGATGGAAGGGTCTGAGTCTTTGAAGAATGGGATTCTTCTGTAATTCAAATTCTTTTTGCTCCTCAGACCAGGACAGGTTAAAGAAGGGAGTGAGTGGGTAGAACCCAGCTGATGGGTCTAATTTTAGTTGTTGGACTGTGTCACTGAACTTTTCTACAGCTGCAGATTGGAGTTACATGTTTTATGTTTTGTTTGGGTTTATTTTTTAAATATTTTTTCCTTTCCAAAGTCTGTCTAGCCAAGTTTACCTCAAAGGAAAACAAAAGGTTTTCCTGGTGATATTTTTAGTTTCAGAGTCTATTACTGAAAATAATCTAACGTGGCATCTGCTTGTTAATGGATGTATCCAGAGTAACTAGAGTTTCATAGATGTGAGAAACAGAAGTTGAAATTCTCTCTTTTGGATTTTAGTCAATCTTGCCAAGTATTTTAGGTTGTGATGCAGTAGCAGAATGAGCATCTTGTTCACAGATGTGGCTGAATGTTGCAGGATCAAGTCTGGTTTTGAGGTTCTGATTTGACTGGAATTACTTTTTGTGGTGATTTTTGGTGGCAGTAGTCTTGGAATAACTTACATTTGCAGGTATTCCAGTTTATTTCTGTAACTATTAAGTAATTTTATGATTCATGCTTTCCTAAATGTACAAACTTTTCTCTGTTAATGTAATTTTGTACCTGTTTGGATAAATGGGTGTGGATTTTTGCTGCCCCTTGTGCTGCTTTACCAGGGCATATTTTCTCCCTGTGATGTGATGGATTTATATTTATGTTGGTGCAGAAGCAACAGTTACACTGGTTTAAGTGGCAGAATTCACAGCTTCAGCTGAAATGGCAAAATTTTGTTGTGGTAAAACTTCAGAAAAAAAATTCTGTGAAAGGGAAAATGTGTGTTATCTTTGAGAGGGTACGTGCCGTGTGATCACACTCAAGATGGTCTGTTCTGCTGATGGAATGAGCTGGGACAAACTTCAAGGAGTTTTTTCTCTTTTTTTTTAATTGATTTTTGCCAACTCTACTGTTTTCTTTAAGGCTAACCAGGAATCTGCTATTGACAAAATGGGTGTGCTGGGGGAGGGAGGGATTTTTGAAATATGTTATTAAACTAAAATGAACAATCCATGTTCCATGAACAATCAGTTATAATGGGAATTTTTAAAAAGATTGTTTTGGCCAAATAGCACAGCTTAAGATCTGAAATCTGAAGTTCTTGGTCTTGGCTTTTGGTGGAACTGAGTTAATTTTAGTAGCTGGTGCAGTGCTGTTTTGGATTTAGTACAAGAATTATGTTGATGGCACACCAATGGTTTAGCTGGTGCCAAGCAGTGCTTGCTCTAAACCAAGGACTTTTCAGTTTCCTGTGCTCTGACAGTGAGCAGGTGCACAAGGAGCTGGGGGAACTGGGCACAGGGATATTCCACAGCACAGCACCTCATGGCCAGGGCATAAACAGGGGGGAATTGGCTGGGAGACACGGACTGCTGCTCAGGGACTGGATGGGCATTGCTCAGTGGGTGGTGAGCAACTGCTTTGTGGCACTGCTTTCTCTTGGGTTTTAGTCCTCTCTTTTTCCATTCTTTTTTTGGTTATTGTCTGCCATTCACCACAGTTACTATCATTATCATTATTCTATCATTATTTTATTTATTAAAGTGTTCTTGTTTCAGCCAAAGGTTTTTGCCTTTTTTTTCCACTTCTCTCCATCCCACTGGGAGGGGTGATGGTGAGCTAGTGGCTGTGTAATATTAACTCCCAGCAGGGGTTAAACCATGACAGTCTTCCTGAGATTGTTCCTTTTCTTACTCTAATTTGGAACAGGGAGATGTTTGAAATCATGGGAAAAAACTTTGAAACACAAACAAGTGTCTCCCCAGTCCATGTTTTGGCTTTGCACAACAAGTGACCTATTTTTTTTTTCTAACGTCTGAGCATCCAGCAACTCCTGTCATCATCACTTATCTAAAGGTTTTAGAGGTTTAATGTTGTGGTTGTTTTTTGTTTGTTTTTACACCAATCAAAATAATGTATTGTGAGGGCTCTTTACAATATAATGAGCTTAGAGCAATGGACTTTGCTGGTCTCTATTTCGTTCTGTTAGAACTTGGCAGCCATTACAACTGAGGCTTTATTTAACGCATCCGCATTTCTAGTGGAGTTAATTTTAAAGGGTTTCTTATTAGTATTGGGGTTTTTTGTTACTCAGGGACAGAAGGTGCTGTGGAGCTGCAGTGGCTGTGCCTCAGCACTTCCGTTGCGACATGATGTGGTTTTCAGAGTTTGTGTTGCTTTTGTTTTAGCAGCATTTGAAATTTAATTATTCTTTTCGATAATCTACATGCTGCAGTTTTTAGTTTGCTGTGATTCAAGTATGTGTGCATGAGTTTGGGAGGCAGAATTTTTCAGCTTACTTTGGATGTGCTGACCTTCAAGTTAACTTTCAGTATTAAGTTGTCCATGTAATTCTCTTTTTGGAGTAATTAAGGAAAGTGAAAGTTACCTTCTTGTCATGCATGTTTCGGTTGTTGTTGATGACTGAAAAAGGTTTGACAGTTTTGAGAATGTAGTTTGATATCAGGCACTTGTTGTCACTTTACGTGGGTATTTTTATGACAGAATGAAAACCTGTCAGTCCCTGCTCATCCCTTTCCCTACATCCTGATCTACTTGGAAAAGGAACCTAGTAAAAAACCAGGAGGCAGCCTAATTTCAGAGTTTTGATTAAATTTATAGACTTAACAAACCCATAGATTTCTGAAAATTCTGGCACATTTAAAATATTTTGATATGAATTATTTAAGCTTGTAATTTTTGTATCTCTTTGTATACAACCCGTGCAACTCCCAACTTCTGTTTGTACAATACCATCCCTTTAAACTCAGTCTTTTATTCGCACAAAATGTTGAATGCTCTGATTCTGTAGTAGCTGCTTGGGTGGTAGTTTTGTTTGTTCATTCTAAATATTTGTAGTCTTCTGGCTGACCTTTCAGTTTGCCTTGGGCAGCTCTGAAATGCTGGTGATGTGCGGGGTGTCCGATGTGGTTGGAAGGCACTTCCTGTGCGAGGGGAAGGATGTGCTCCCCTTGGGGTTTGTAGAGCTGCTGCAAGAGCTCTGTGAAAAGTGCCAGCATTTACATAACTTGAAAAATCAGACTGTGGGCTAGACAATGGCAAGCAACAGCCCTGCAACCTGTGGTTTGTTGAGCCACATCTCAGTTTTGATCTGTCCTGACTTGAGCTGAATTAATTTTATGTCATCGTGGCTTGAGAAGTGTGAGCGTGGCTGAAGGTGTGACACGAACAGTTTGCAGTGTCATCCAGGCCATGGCAACACACATAAAAACTCACACGAGGCTTGTAAATGAGAGGTCTTGGGGTTTTTTTTGGTTATTTGAGTTGTGTTTTTTTTCTTTATGTATATTTGCATGGTTTCACTTCATGCTGGACTTCTGTGCTGGCTTGAGGTATAGAACTTGCACAGCTGCAAAAGCTTTTATAACTTACACAAGGACAATATGAATAAAGTCTTGTAAAAATTTATTTAAAAGTGTAGTTCAAGTGCAGGTTTTCCATGTCTTTGCTCCGGCTGCAGTTCTTTCCAATTGTCCCCCTAATAATTGGGATTGGGAGCCTGTTCTTAAGTCTGACCTCATCGGGGGGCTGATTGTGCTGCTGGTGATTTTACTTGGAGTGGCTTCTTGTGGATAAAAACTTGCTGGATCGTCCCCATCTTCAACTGCACTTCCCTAATGCAGCCTGCAGTGTATCTTGTTCAAGGGATGGGCAGGTGGTGAATGGTAAAACCAGCACATTTCATTGAGAAACAACTGTCAGTCTTAACTGACAGAATGTCAAACTGATCCTTTTGCTCTTTACAATTATTTTGTTGGTGACTTTTGAGATGCTGTTGTGGACCAGCTGTTCTTAAAAAAAAAAAAAAGTGAAAAAGTGCCCTTTTTTGTTGTGCATTATCAATTTTACCTGATGGCAAACTCCAAATTTAAATTACTTTCTAGTATTCAGGAGTGAGGATATGGTCATTTGTTTATATGATTCTTTGTGAGTTACACAGAAATGAATCAAATTAGTTGCATTATTGGTTCCAATCTTCAAAACACACAGCCCTCAAATTATATTAATAGATAAGTTTGTAGAAGTTAATGAAGGCTGTAAATTATTTTTTTAAAGCTTTTAGATATTTGAAATTTACAATGCAATTTGCATTGAGGAAGTGAATCCAAAATATTTAAAGACCTGCCTTAATTGCTGATTATTTAATTTGAGAGACATAGAAATAGTGCTAAGCTAGATGGAGGTAGTGTCTGAATTTTGTTGGTGTTTGGTTTCTAAAGCATACAGAGTATTGCATTCTAATGCTGTTCATGTAAATGTTTATGTAGTACCCACCACACTGGGGTCTTTCGCTGAGATCTCAGATGCTAAATGAGTGTAAATAAGAACGGTGCCCACCCTTGGACCATTTTCATGTCGTTAACCTGCCCTCCCCCCATTTTACAGTGTCACCATGGAAAAAACTGCTAGCAAATTGACCTTTATATAGCCAAAATAGAAGCTGTCCTGTCTGGATTTGAGTTTAACTCAGTTGATTCATTCAGCCGTTTGTGGCCACACAGGAAGCCCCATTCATAGGATCACAAAGCCTAATGGCTGTTTGTACAGTGGGATTGATCTGATTACTCTTCTCTCTCTTGTGCTATTTACAGTCTGCTGCCAATTCACAGAAAGGGAAGAGAATGGCTGCAAAGGAGAAGTTGGAGGCAGTATTAAACGTGGCCCTAAGGGTCCCCAGCATCATGCTGTTGGATGTCTTGTACAGATGGGATGTCAGCTCATTCTTCCAGCAGATCCAAAGAAGTAGCCTGCACAACAACCCTCTCTTCCAGTACAAGTACTTGGCCCTTAATATGCATTATGTGGGTAAGTATAGGTCTATTCAAGAGAAAATACTACTCTACTAAATACCTTTTGGCTTGCTACAAGAATTTTAAGAATTTAGTAGTAGCATGTTAATATATTGGTTACAAACAATAACATGACAATGCGTGCATTACAGTTCTGCCTAGGGGACAGTTTATGTTAGCAGCAAAGAAATCCTGCCCAGGGTTTTTACTGATTGTTGTTATTTAGCCTTTACAAGTAAACCTGGTGTTTGGAAACACAATTGATGTCCTGAAAGAAGAGCACAGGGAATTTGGCAGGTGTCTGACTGATGAGGAAGCTGCTGTGAAATGCTGTGCAGACAAGAAGTATAGAAACTTAACATTAAACAAGAGGCTAGAGAAAAGGTGGCCTGGTTTGGACTGACCACAGCATTAGAAATTTAGTTTTCTTTGCTGCACCATTTTGGCTCTTCAGTTTACACCATTATGAACCATCCCTGTGCTGTGAGTGGATTCGAGCAGGTAAGCAGTCCTTGTGTTGCAGATAAATGGACTAAATTACTAACTCAGCTCAGGCAGGTGAGGTGTGAACCTTGGCCTGCAAGTCTAGCTCTGGAATGCCAGATGTCTGTTTTTAGGAGATGAAAGGATTGGTGTTCTGGGATCTGCTCTCCAGGTGAGAGTGTGATTCATCTGCACATGGGGTAAATTAGGGATTGGATTTGGGCAGTTGAGGTTGATCTCTGGCAAGCATCTGCCTGAGCACTGCTTGGCTTGGAGAGAAAGGGCTAGCTTGTAATTTAACCACTCTGGAGTGTTTCTTCCTTGTAGATGGTTTTGGAAGATAAAGATGCACTGCAGTCAGCTAAAGGAAACACACTTTACTTAAGCAGTTAGGAAACTGTGGGCTTTTGAAGGAGCATGTCCTGACTTTAATCCTGACTGCATAAGTGTTGGCATGAGGCTTCCCTTTTTTTGTAATGTCTGTTGTCTGGAAGTCATTTACTGCACTAAAAGTATGTCCAGCTTTCTTTGTTATGGCTCCACTATACTCGTGCTGGGATGACAATGTACTTGCAGCACAAAACATTGGTGTCACAGTTCCCTTTTCCTTTGTCTGTGGGAGAGAGAACATGTTTGGATCTGGTGAATGTGACACAGGACTGTGGTGGCCTGTACCTACAGCTGGCTTTCTCCTGCATTTGTGTCCACACACAAAACTTTTAGGGATCACTTTATCAGATCAGTTCATCTAATGCTGAACTAAAAGTTGTGTAGTAGATTTTCAAGATGGGTGTGGGTAATTTCCAGCTATGACAAAGCCCCTCTTAATAGGCATTTAATAATCTTTTCCTTGTTAAAGTATGTTGGGATACACCAATAAAAAACAATACAGAGGGGGTGGGTATTGTTACCAAAGAATTTCCCATCTGGTTGCTATTTTTGTACTAAACCAGTGAAATCTGACTTTTTGCTCCTTGTACGAGGAGTGCTTTTGTCCTGGTGAACAATCACTCAGCAGTTCTTTTACTTCTTGCTTTTATGACATTGAATGTGTGGATTTCTGTTTCTCCAACTGGTGGTTGCTCAGCAAGAAGAGCTTCTAAATTGTCAAACAAGGTACTTGTTTTAAAAGATTTTCAGACAATTTTTTAGTGACAAAACTTTTCACATGAAGTTGCTGTGTTTCATTTCCTTGGTTGCTGGGGATTTAAGCTGTGTCAGGGTGAAGCTGGGCTAAATCAATTTACATGCCTCCATGACATTTTATATAGATTTAGTTGCATTGCTTTAGAGTATAACATTAATTAAGATGATGTATCAAAATATATAAATTGGATTTGTAGGGAAAACAAAGTACTTTTCCACCAGTTTGGAGAATTGAGCTTCTTTGAAGATACATTTGAGGAAATTAGCTGCCAGAATATAATTCAAACAACAATTCACTGTGGATGTGTTTCAACATACTAATCTACTTTATTTAGGGAAAAAAAAATCCTCTGTTCATATTTGCAGTTAGGAAACACTATCAGCAAACGCAGTGGCAGCTTTGCAATATCAAACAATCACTGAATTTCTTCTACAAGCCAGTATCTTGTAGTGCTATATATAGTGCTATGTAAGTGCTTCCAGCAGCTGAGGAAATTGGGTGCATCTATCTCGGGCAGATACACAAGGAACAATTTGATTAGAGAGCCCTAAAAATTAATAAACTCTACCAATCTTTATATAGTGAACCTTTTCCTGGAACTAAGGAGACAGAATTGGAAATTTGTTCAGAACTGGGGGTTACCAGGAGCGTATTTTCTGTTTAAATGTAACAAGTGAAATGAGTGTGTTCCTGTGTGATTCCCATTCCAGTTAGCAGTACTGTGAGTATAATAAAAGCTTATAAAATGCACTTTATTCTTTGAAAAAACTTTCCCTTTTCATATCTTTCCATGAAACAGCCCTTATCTGCTTGAGCAATGGAAAATACTCAGTCCTGATAACCACTCAACCACAAGTTCACCTGCATGAAATTTAACTAAATATGCACAGAGCAGTGCAAACAGCAGAGATAAATTTCTGGTTAGAATTGGTGCAACCTCTGTGTCGGGTAGATTAGCACTTACTGCCAGACTTCTCCATTTTCTTCTGCACTGTAGAGTAGCTGTGAGAAAACAGACACTTCTTTTTGTGCTCTTTTGGTGGAGAAGGTGGAAAAAAGTTGAAACCACGTAATTTCCTCCTGTGAAGAAGGGCAAAGCAATGCTCTTTGTGCCAAGTGGTAAATACTCTGAGCTAGATGGAAAGAGTCATGAGCTTAACCTATAATCAGAGTCAGGCTTGGAATTCAAGTCACTGTCAGGGGTGAGGCACAGAATTGCACAAAATACAGGGTTTTCTTACTCAAGAGTGAAATTAGAGCAGTTTTCTATCTAAAACTGTATTCTTTGTCGTTACAAAAAAAAAAATTAAATGTTTGGTATAGGTGGAAGGTGTGCCATCTTTCACAACCCTGTTTGTAATGACAGTTTCTTTAACTGCATGGTTAATACTTTAATCTTTTGGTCACATTACTTGCTAGGTGTGAGCTGCTTGTTATGAATGCTGCTTTTATGAGGGGGGCTTGAGGGAGGACAAACCTGCTGGACTTCCTGCCCTTGTGTGCTGATTGCACCCTTTGGTCTGCCTGCTTTTGTTTAAGCTCTCGTGCTTTATGTAGAAGATCTTTTATTTAGAATTCTTTTTTTATGTTGCCTTTTAAGGGGAAGGGTCCTCTACTCTGGTACAAACCCTGTAAGAAGTGCCAAGTGAAACTTCACTGTGAGAAGAAATGAGTTGGTTCATTACAGAAACAAATTTCCTAAAATTGCAAGAAAGGATGCATGACTTAAATGTGTAAATACAGTTAATTCATACAATGATGAGGCCCTGCTTAGAATCAGCATCTCTGGCTTTGCTGCCTCATGTCTTCTACCTTTCTCCTGCCAGCAGCACTTAGATACATGGCTTGTAGAACTATTTTCTGAGCATTACTATTTAATTTTAAACTGTAGCTATTTTTAATCAAGTGCAATTTGATGACATGGACTTGGTCTTTATTTCTTAAAATAATCACTGGTTACGTCTTCTCATTCTCTTCTTGGTTCAAATGCGGTGTGTGCTGCAGTTGGTAGGACACAGGAGGAGGTAGAGAGTGTGCCATGCTCAAAATCCAGCACAGCCTTTTTTGTTTTCTGACTCAGGACTGAAGATTCCTCTACTGCTCCCTAAATGTTGTAGGTATTTCCTAAGCAGCTTTCTCAGCATATGGATACTTTCAGGTAGCTTTTTTCTGTATAAAGCTGATGTCTTTTTTTTTTTACTTTTTTTTTTTTTTTTTTTTAGGAGCTACTAGCATCCTTTTTGAAAGGAGGTACTTAAAATTTTTGATTCTGAATACCAGTCACATGACAGCATTGCAGCTTATCTTATTTAGAAAGATTTATAAAGAGCCTCTGAATCATATGGCAGAACTAGAATCAAAAGTCCATTTTATTTGTTCAGACAATACTGCAAATCTTTGTAAAGCACTCATTTTCTTGGATTATTTATACTTAAAGTACCCAATCTGTTGTGCATTTAAAAATTGAAGAAACAGCTGTTGATGGCAGTTCCCCAGTAATGAATAAATTGTTTTGTTGGCATTATTTTCACCAAGACGTGCAGATGTTGATAACAGGATTTCTGATCTCTGTTTTCAGTTGTTCTGAGCCATGACTGAGTAATTGCCAATTTCCTTATATGCAAGTATGTTTAAATGTGTGCTTTCTAAGTTTTGAACTAATTTTCTGGCATTTTCTGGAGGGCAGGTGTGTAAAAGTATATCTTTTAAAAAATCATCCTCTCTTGAGATGGGTGATTTAGACATTGACAATTTATGAAATCTCTGTGTAAATTGCAATGTAACCAGTCTGGTGATCCTGAGAATCAGGCACACTGAAAATAAAGGTGCCAGTTGTTTCTGTAGTACTTCTGCCATTTCAAATGCAGGCTTTCAGAAGTATGTCCTGTTCTATTGGCACTTGCATGTAGTGGCCAGATATTTGTCTGAACAAACTGAAATGAGGACAGTGAAGGATTAGGCTGAAGTGCAGTGACTGACTCAGAGTGCACTGATCCCTCTTTGAGGCAGGAGAGCTGGGATGGAGTCTGTGGCTCATGACTTGCTGCTTCCCAGCAAGTTGCTTTGCAAATCATGGATCCTTTACCCTTGAAGGATATGGGAAAATGGAAAAGTAGGGCCCCCTGAATTAATTTCCTGGTAGAATCCAAGCAATTGTGCTCCTGCTTTCTGGCTCTCCAAGAGTTGGTGTGGCCTTATTAAGAAATGTTATGAACTCTTTGATGTGCAAAGTTCTCACTTTTAGACTAAATGTGCAGGAAGCTGTGAGTGATAATATGAAATGGACACAAGGGATCTGTAATCATGCAAATGAGGACTAAAGTGCTTCATAAAGAGGATGAGCTGTGACTTTGATCATGTTCCAGAAGCCTCCATTGTGTGCAGTCAATAAACCTCAGACACCTGAGTCGGCAAAGAGGTAATTCTGGTGAGAGAAGCTGGGAACACCTTGGTGGTGCATAAATGGAGAGGGATTGCTGAAAGGCAGTCTGTGAGCTGCTGCTCACTGAACAATGAGCACTGCACAGCCAGAGGTTTTCACTGAGCTGAATCAACAGGTTGTAAATAGGGTCATGAACTGGTTAATACACCAATGTTCTTGTCTGGCAGTGTTTAACTTTGCTTTTCTGCTTAGGATGATTTTTACAGTTTATTTTCTCCAGTGGAGCCTAAATCTGTTCCATCTTGCATGAGAGGCAGTAGAAGTTCTCTGTTTCCTTGTGCTCTTTAATAAGAGCTGAGTGGGGAATTTGTATTTTTAAGGTTGGCAGAATGTGTCTTCTGTAGTGCTCCTAACAGCTGGAGGCATAAAGGTGCAAGTCTCTTTCTTGGTGTTGTGGCACTAGGGCACTCTGACTGTATTCAGGAAAGATTATTCTGTCTTTTCTTTATCTTTTTTGTTTATTTTTTTTAACATATGTTAGAACCTTTCCTTTACTGGAGCAGGAATTGGGCTTCCCTGAGCCTGCTTCTTGCTTTGTACAGAAATGTACATGGTGAGTCAAAAGGGACAATGCACCAAGTCCCAAGAGCAAAAATGGCACAGCCCAAATCAAAGCAGGGGAGTGCTCACTGCTGACACGGAGCTCAAAAGCTCCATTGGGATGGAGTGAGTGTTAGTTATTGTTAATCCCTGCTCAGAGGGTACCCAGACTGTTTCTCAAACTGTAAGTCCTTGTGTGTGGGGACTCTCTCCAAAGGGATATATATTCTCAGCATCGTGTTTTCTTCTGGCAGAGGAGGTGCAAATGAAAACAGAATATAATGATTTAGATGAGAAAGCTACTGTGAGGAAATTTATTTCCTGGTCCTTTTTTTTTTTTTTTTTTTTTTTAAGTGGAATCTTATTTACGTTGTACACTAATTACTTCATTTGTCTGTATGAGAACAAAGGGAGTAGAATATTATTGAAAGTATGTCTGAATTTGAGCTTGTCTTCCTTTTCTTCTGCAATTGGATGGGTTGGTAAAGAATTATTTGGCTTTTTTTTTTTTTTTTGGTGGAAGCTTTGTTGATAAAAATGAGGTTGGTACCACTTTGGGAATAGGGCCTCTGCAGCAAAAATGCAAATATTGCAGTGTGAAGTGTGCTGAAATCTCCCTCTTACCAAGTCACAAGAGGAAATTGTAAATAAGATTGAATGGCAACTACTTTAAATGTCTGTTGCTCTCCCCCTCTTCAAAGTCTAACAATTAAACCAAATGGCTGTTTCAAAGTGAACATTTACATTCCAGCCCAAACTCCTGAGCAGTGGAGTTCATTGCTGAAGCTTCTGCAGTAACCTTGGCTGTCTCGTGCTGCTTCCCTGCACAGATCTGAGCATCTGTGCAGTGTGGAAGCCTGCTGGTTAGAAGGCACTGTGACAGCACTTGCTTCATCTTTTAATTTAGCCTTCTATATTTTTTTCCACTCCTTCATTGTATCCTGAAGGATCCTAAGTATTTTGATTAAATTTGTGATCATGTAGAGAAGAGTGAACTTCAGTGATGTCTAAAGTCCTTGCAAGTGTCACATCTTTGCCCTCTAAAACACGTTACTTTTACAGAAACCATGCTGCCATTGCTCAGGTACATCCTCACATGGCCAAGGAACAGACTTTCTTGTGATAGAATAAGGTAAAGATGACAGAGCTTAAATACAGATACAGCAAACAGGTATTCTAAAACTACTTATAGAGTAATAGAGGAATAAAAGACTGCATAATAAACTCTGTTTAGTTCTCCACCTGAAGGTGAGTCACAGGCTACAGTGAGAAGGAAAGGTTTAGGGAGATTTGACTCGTGCTGGAATGGTAGATGGTTGTGGGTTGTTCCTCAGGGAGAATTGTCCCTCACAAAGGAACCCAGGGTGAATGTAGCAGAGATGAGATGTAGGAATGTCTGCGGATGGTTTGAGAGCTCTGGAGCTGGCTCGTGAGGCTCGTGTGGTGCAAGGCAGTGAAATGTCTTCATGGAGACTGCTGAGGAGTTCCTGCTCTTGTCATTTGTGTGTTTGGGGGAAGGAAGGTGGCAAACAGGAATTCCAGCAAATGCAAAAACTGATGGTGTGGAACATCTGATGTGCTGTAAGTAGAAGCAAGTTACTCTGTATAAAACAAGTTGCTAGAAGGAGACTGGTGGAGTGCTGTGTTTCAGACCCCTTTAAAAAAGCTCAAAATAAAACTGGTTCTGTTCTCCAGGCTGAACAGCCCCAGCTCTCCCAGCCTGTCCTCACAGGAGAGGTGCTCCAGCCCTCTGGTCAAAGTGATATTGTACAGAATTAGTGACTTGTATGACACTTGATTTTTAATAAAAGATACTACCAATTCTTTCAGCTTTTTTAAAAGCACATCCTGAGACAAATGTGCAACTTGTCACATCCTCTACATGAAGACGTTGAAAAATTATCTTTAATGTTAAATACATAAATGATATACTGGTATTTTAAAAAGGTAAGTAAATAGGATTTGTCTGTTATTGATCCTGTAATCTGCATTATCTGAATTCATCTCTCCTTGCCATCCTGTGGGTCTGTTGTCTTTTCTAGGAGTGTCTTGCAAGATTTTGAAGACCAAACTGTTGGTAGAATTTTACAGAGGTGGCTCATTGAACGTAGCAGATACTAAGCAGCCTTGAAATACTTCTTCATAAATACTGACTCTGAAATATCTTTTTCAAATACTGGAACATGCTGTGTTCCCCAGCTGTTTTATAATACCTGGTTGTGCCACTGCTTATAAGTGCTTAATCTAGAGTTGCATTATTAAATATATTTCAAAAGCTCAAAATATAAATTAGCTAAAAAGACTGTGCCTGATGATGCTGAATAAATGTATGAAACTTTAAATGTGACATGACTGGTGTGGTTGTGAGGGTCAGGATATGTTCTTCTCTAGCATTTTTTTTCTTAGCTTCAGGGGAGCTGTTGGCTGTTGCTGGGTTGTTTTCCTAAATGGATCTCAGTGCCAGGCACTTGAACTGACCTTCAGAAAGAGTACAAGTGCACTGCAGTGATGGAGAGAGAGCTTGGAAATAAATATTTGTAAGGGCACCATGAGCTGGGTTTTTGACCTGCAGCCTGTCTGGAAAGGAGGAGTTTGGACATGCAACACCCGCTTATGGGGTGGACTTCCAAGTACTGCTTTGTGTGGGTCTCTGAGAGAGATCCTTATGAGAACAAGGATCAAGGTTCTGCTTGTTGGAGAGGCTGCTGAGCAGCCAGGCTGTGGTCTTAAAGAGTAAAGCTGGATCTGCATTGGGTCATTTTCAACAGCCTCACTAAATGCTAATGAGAAGTGCAGGAACTGCTGGGATAAAAAGCTACAAATCCTGTGGCAGCTCTTGTCCTTGATTTATGCAACCCTGATACCTGGAGTGGGCTTTAATATGACTAATGTGGAGTAAAGCCTCTGTGTCCTCATCTTAAATTGCGAACATGCTAAGTGTTATTTTAATTTGATGTTAGATAGCATTTTTTTAAATATCAGCTTCTGCTTTTTGTTACAGGTTACATCTTAAGTGTTGTGCTCCTTACTTTACCAAGGCAACACCTGGTTCAGCTTTACCTGTACTTTTTGACTGCACTGCTGCTTTATGCTGGGCACCAAATTTCCAGGTAAGGATAAATGGATTAATATTTTTAGCTTGGTTTGGACATTACAAAAATAACAGTTATTTTGTTATTATTTTCTATAAATGGTTTTGTGGAGGCCTTTTTTCTGTGTCAAACACCTAAATGTATCTTGCTGTTCTTTGTCTTTGGAAAAGTTTACAGAATTAAATATGCAGCCAAGTAGTTCTTTGAAGTCATTGAAAAGCACCAGGAATTTTGAGCTACTTGTCTGGGGAGTGTAATGCCCACCAATCTAAGGAGAGGAAAGCACTTACCACAAGACTAAATGTGGCCTCTGATGCAGTAATCTAAGTTACTCAGTGGCTCAGCTAAAATGCTTTCAGCACTGGGGTGTTTTATACAGCAGACAGGATGTTACTTTTAGTTTCCTGGCACCTCAGAAGACAGAGCAAATAGAGATCTGGAATCCAGTAAAAGCAAAGTAGTAGTGGTATTTATTCTTAAAATGTATTACACAAATTTGAATTTACAGTGTATGCAGGTGTTTTGGATCTGAAACACAGAGCAGGAGTCTGGAGAACTCTGAGTCAAACAAGACAGAATCAACCATCTTTGTTTGGCCTCAGCTAAATGTGTTGAAAGCCAGTGTAAACTTTCATACTGACACAGTGTTTAATTGGAACCAAAGACACTGCCATCACATTAAAGGCTTTGCATGGGAAGTCTTGAAAATATGGATTTGAGCCTGACTTATTTTGGTGCCTGCTGATGGGAAACATTTAAAAATGTGCTTTCAGTTGATTTAATGGAAGTGATAGTTTTGTTATTTCCACATCAAAATTTTTCCAGAGCATTTGCTAGAATGTCTTTCTTGATATGTTGCCGTTCAGGGGAGTGTTAATGAAGGTTTTGTGATGATTTGACATGTCGCTGTTGTGGCTGTCAGGGTTGCAGTTAGTGATTTCCTGAAAAGGATGAGTGTACAAGAGAGGAGTTATAGCCTCTTATTGCCTCAGTAGGAAGGAAAAAATGGTTTATTTGTCATCCTCTGGGGAGTCCTGAGTTGTTAGAGATGGAGTTTGTGGGTGTTTCTTCTAGGGTTAAAGGCTTATTTATTAGAAAAAGCAACCTAAACGTCATTTAAGTGTCGAAGTAATAAATCTAGTAACAAATGCCCATCAGACACAGGGCTTCACTGCAGAACATTTTACAGCTGGAGGTGTTTATGCCATTCCAGGTCTTTAAATTTTTTAGAAGAAAGGGAGATGTTACACATTTGATTGATACATTAAGGGATAGCACTGTGTTTGCTTCTAATACCTTGTTTGTATTTCTGTGTGACAGAAATTCTGACTTCTGTTGCTTTGTGAGGTTTGAGACTTAATAGGCTTTATTGTAACATATTTAGTAAATACTGCTTGGACTGTTCTGTGTGTTCCTACTAAGCTTTCTGTATTTGGTGCTCCTGGAGCGAGTTAATAAAAACTTTTAATTAAATCTTGCATCAACTAGCACAAAAAATATATTTAATTAAAAGATGTCATGGATTCAAATAGTCCAGCTGTATTCCCAAGGTATTTTGCAAGGCAAATGTAGCTGCTGACACTTCTGAGTGAGCTTACCCATTCCCTAGGCTGGTTTGCTTTGGAAGGAAGCACAGTGCAAGGGGCTCTCAGCTGAAGCCTTTGTACAGTCAGGGAATCATATGTGGAGAGTGACACTTGAATTAGCCCTACAAAAGGATTTTTGAATCTCATTAGTTTTCATACTGGAAATAGTAAAATGTGACAGACATATCTGTTGGCAGAGCCATTCCTCTTATTGCCAAAGCTATCCAGTTCCAACTTACGTTTCTATTTAGCAGCCTGATCATTACAAGACATACAGTAGTCACACGTGCAAACTGTTTTTCAGTGTTTTTTGTTAGCAGTTCTGCTCAGAGCTGAAAACTTCCAGGGACTTGCTTGCATGCACTACCAGTTGGGATGCTATTTAAGACCAATGAAGAGGTCTTATATTGAGGCCAGTTTGGTTAGTGCAAATTATAGAACAAGACCAGAATCATCTGGCACTTGTGACTCTGCAGTGTCCTGGAAATTCTGAGCTGTTGAAAGACTTCAGCTTTCAGTGCTTTTTTTCCATCCCAGAAATAGCTTGCACTTCATCTGCAAGTCTGGGAATAAGATCATCTGAATTTTATAGTTAAGCTCTGACTTCAGACTTCCAGGTTTATGTGACCTTGACAAGTTACTTAATTTTCTAAATGTTTTGTTTCCTTACCTGCTGAGCTGAGAATTACCTTAATGTGTAAAGATGGTTTAGGTAATATTTGTGAATACTTGGAGCACCCCAGAAGATGCTACATTTGTATGTAGCATCCTAACCTGGCAATTTGGGTGGAAATAACATACCATCTGTTTATGGAAAGAAGAGAAGTCAGCTTTAAAAACCTAAAATCCAATTTAATGAAATCTCTTTGCCTTAGGTTTCCTGCAGCAGTCTCGTCTCCAATTTCAGGAGAAATTAGTTTAATAATGGAGTGGCACAGTAATAGGAACACCTTGAGCTGGGTGCCTCCAGCCAGGGACCCAGAGCACACAAATCCTTGGGCCTTTGTACCCTTCCAGTCAATGCACCCATCCTGCATCCACTCTTGGTGTGCTTTGGTCCGCACACCCCTTGGTCCAGTGGTGGCTTTTGGTCTGGGATCTTCTTTTCCTGTGTTGGATTCTTTCTCTGTCTCCAGGTGGGTGTTGGCTGCTTTTATCTGGCTGGGTTGCAGCTTCTGCTGAGTTGTGGCCTCCTTATCTTCCAGTTCACTCTGCTCTCATGGCCTCCCTTCATGTAACTGAGCAGGAGTTCAAGATAAGTTTGACTTTTCTAGGTGGTAGCTTGGAGCTGGTGAGAGCTTGGAGCTCATGGCCTAAAACTCCAGCATCTTTAGCTGCTTTTGGTAAGCAAAGCCACTTAGACAATACAGAATACAATTACAAGAACACAGCTAACTAAATTTGATTTACAACAGTCCTGCTTTTTTTTTATTAAGCATTTCTGCTTTTGTATCAGAAGGAACTCGGAGTCTTTAAACACAACCCTTAGTCTCACATACAATGTTATTACAAGCAGCAGGCACAATATAAGCAGAGTGAACAAGGTCACCACTGGATGGAGCATCTGAATATAGATTACAGTGGTGTTGGTGACCCCCCAAAAAGAGTTTTCCACCATCAGTATTGTGCCTCCTTCTTTGCTCTTTGCAAGACATGATGCATCTCTTCCGCACTGGTGACTAGAATTTTTTGTCCATCATTTTGGAAACGTTCCAGCAGTTGATATAGGTCATCAGGTTTTAGTGGTTTCCTCACCAGTGCAAGATTCATTCTGATGGGGATAGGTAGTAAATTTTAGCTTAAGTATAATTGGACTGTAACTGTTGATTGGACATAATAGGAGCTGAATAATTAAAATTGCATCCCACAGTGTTTCTACAGTTAGAAGTAATTGAGTGATTATTTGTCCCTATAGTGATGTTATTTACAAACATAAGGTTACAAAGAGTTCTTACACAAACACATCCTTTTCCAATATAGGCAAGTACAGTTTCAGGTGTTTCTTTGGAACGTATTTCAAGTGACAGACATTTTGTTCAGTGTCAGAACAAATGTCTTGAGCTTTGATGGTTTTACTTTCACAAATAAATCCCTGTTGTTGAACACATGCATCAACATTGATGCTGCCATTTGATACTGTTGTGTTGGGCCCATACTCAGCTCTGGTGGGTAGAGAGCAGTTCCATCATGATTCAATCCCAATACAGGGATTGGGTCTGTGGTGTAGTCTGATGTGGAACATGTTGTTGAGACAAAAGCTGTGCCATTGTTACTCTGGGGCTATATGGGAAATTGGCTGCATACCACCACTGTTGGAATTGTCAAAATCAGTTGCATTTTCTCAAATTTTTTTTTTTATTTCAATGTGTGAGATCTACCCTTCCCCTTCTCTTATGGTTGTGGCTACCACAGATTGTATCTACAGTTGTGCTTGGGTGCAGCTAAGAGCTAGTGCTGATTTCAGAAATTTCTGGGATCAACTCCTCCCTTACCTGTGGAGGGCCGGTGGCTGAGCTCATTGTGATGGGCAGTGGGGCAGTGGTTGGATCATGAGCTGTACTGGCTTCACAACAAAAAATGAGAGCTGCTTCTTTGGGTTTTACAGAGCTTTAGGGGCTGGGTAACCCAGCCCCTAACAATCCATGTGAATTAGCTCCTCTTTAGTCCTATTAACTTTATACCACACTGAATTGTGCATTGATTATGTACTTAGCCATGCAGCTGTGGTCATCTGGGTTAACAGCACCAGGAGTGGTGAGTGAGCTGTCCCACTTCATCTCTCAGAGTATCAGTTCTTCATAGTGCCATCATTCATTAGCTGGCTGGTTACTCACCCCTCGTTTGACATGAGACTGGTGTATCCAATTTTCTTTCCCTAAAGCAGCAATGCATTTGTGCAGGGCTTTTATCCTCTAAGCGGAGTCGTAAATAAGTGAGTCTTAATTGATTGAGAGTTCCATGTAGTGGCCAAATTTCCTGGGGCCCCCACCAGCTGTCCTAGTAATATATGGCCATTCCTTCTGGCACAAGGCCACTGTGTGCTCTTTAGATAATTGAGCTGTACCATAAATCTTTTCTCAATTTTGCAATACCTTGGCCAAGGGCATCCCCTTTTCTACGCTGTGTTTGTTCTCTTTTACCAGGAAGAATAAAGAAAAAGCAGCAAAAAAGATTCAGGGGAACCCTCCTGTGGAGTCACGAGGTTCTGAGAGGAGCGTCGGTGCAGCTGGATCCAGTCTTAGTGTCAGATTTGGCCAACAGTTTGTGTCTAAAGGATTAGATTTCCCATTGCTATGAGGGACTTGAACCCCATTGTTACGTGTGGAATTGAATCCCCTTTCTGTGTGCACATTACTGCCTGATCAGGCTGTGCAGCTGTGAGTGAGCTGCAGTAGAGGGGGGACTCAGACACACCCTGATACTGAGAGACTCAAACCCACTGCAGGACCTTCTCCAAATCTGCCTGGGGAGTTTTAACTCTCACCCCTCAATGTCTCCTGCTCCAGAGGTGCCTGGTGAAGTCACCCGATGCCAGCACTTGGGTATTGGGAGACAAGAAGGTGTGAAAGTGGTTTCCTGCAGCAGTTTCCAGTTCCAAGAAAAATTAATTTAATAATGGAGTGGCACAGTAATAGGAACACCTTGAGCTGGGTGCCTCCAGCCAGGGACCCAGAGCACACAGAAATCACTGAGCCTTTGTACCCTCACTGTCAGTGCACCCATCCTGCATCCACTCTTGGTGTGCTTTGGTCCACACACCCTGGGTCCAGTGGTGGGTGGTCTGGGACCTTCTTGCTCCCTGTTGGATTCTTTTCTCTGTCTGCAGGTGGGTGTTGGTTGCTTTTATTTGGCTGGGTTGCAGCTTCTGCTGTGACCCAGAGCTCACACTGCTCTCAGGGCCTCCCTTCATGTAACTGAGCAGGAGTTCAAGATAAGTTCAGTTTTCCTAGGTGGAGCTTGCAGATTGTGGGTGAAGACTCCAGCAGTTTCAGCTACTCATGCTGAGGAAAACTACTTAGACAAAAGAATGCAGTTTGAAAGAATGCAGTGAGCTAAATTAATTTACCACAGTCCTGTTGCTCCTGACAAGGAAGGTGGATGCTGGTTTTATTTCATGAGTAGCACAAATGTCTTGCTTAAAAGAATCACATTTCTTTTACCCATTTTCAGCAAAAAGCAGCTTGGGAAAAATAAGTGATGCAGTTATGCAGAATAGAAGTGATACAATTAAACATACTGTTAATGCTAAAACTGGAGTTCACATCATTATCTTATTTCATGTTTTGCAGTTTTATTATGATTGTATCTCAGGTGTGTTGAGCCTCACAGAGCTTAAAATGAGAAGGGTTGGGAGCAAGAGACTGAATTGTTTCTTATGGACAAACTTAAAATACACTTAATTTTAAGATTGTCTGTAGACATTAGAAACCTATGAGAGTGTGTTTGATGTTGACAGTGCAGATTAATCACCCAAAGTAAATGTCAGCAATATGAGTCAATTAGGTCAGATAACCACTGTACCTTATGTCACTCAATTGTAAAGCATATTTTTAGTAATGGAAGACCTTTTTGTACCTCAGTAACAAAGAAACAATCGCATGTGAGAAATTAGGACTTTTGGAGCAATTTAGTCATGACTGTCCATGGGTACCTGTTAGCAGGCCAGCAGTTGGATTAAATGGGGCTGGGAATGAATCTGCAGAATGAACAGCAGGCAATGTGATCTAAGCTTTATTCTTAAATCCCAATTTTCCAAAGTAATGTAGTTTCAGTCATTTCATTAACTAGTAAATAATGATTTTAGCATTCTTGTTTTCTTACACTGCTGCAGTAAAGTGAACAATCTGGAGATTAATACAGTTTTAATTGATCAAAATTGAGTGCAGGCACTTGCTTTTTTCAGCATCTTGTATGGCACTGCAGCTGTTTGAGGCATCTTCTGATTGGTGTCTGTGCCAAAAGATCCTTGTGTTTGTACTGGTAATAGGAGAATCATTGCTTTCACTTTCCTCATTCAGCCATCAGCTAAAAATACTGTTTAAAAAATTTAGGAGATCTTAAAACATTGCTTCTCCAAACTGGTGGGCCTAAGACTCAGTTATAATTGAGAGTTAGAGAATTCAGCCAAGTGCAGACCTCTGTGCAGATGACTGAATCAGACAACAGCAAGAAATGCAGCTTGAAGAAATTTGGGTCATCTCCAAGCACGCTCTGGTGTTGAAGGAGCAACTGTAAGTGCAGCTTTGTTCGTGTCTCTTGGCTAAGTTGTGTAAGGTCATCTTGCTGCACTTGGTATCCTGGATGATTTTATTACCTGTTTCCTAACAAGTATAGAAGAAATTTCATGTCTTCACTGCTTTCCTTCCAGCAGCTTAGAAATAGCCAGTGTTTCCAGCCAAAATTTGAGGCTGGAGCATGATTTTGCTAAGACAAAAAGCCATCTCCAGTATCTTGCAAGGGCTGTTATTTTTTCTCTCTTCTGTAACTGATGGATTACCCTGTTTGTGTTGCTGATGCTTTCAGGAAGTGCTTTCTGCTGGTCCATATGATGTAAATAAATAAAAATAACCCCTTTGCCTGAAGGATTACAACCTTATGGATTTTGGAAGGTGGAAAAGAAGCAGTTGTGCTTAGCTATACCTGGAGAACAGGGGGAAGATTTCTGTCTAGAATTGTCATTTGAGGTGCCTTTTCAGTCCTCATGTGCTTTTAATTGTAGGTTGCAGTCTAAAGAACTCATTTCAACATACCTCACATATACTATGACACTTGAAAAGCTGCTCTGAGTAGGCAGTGTTGTCAGCTATGAAGAACAGGCTTTGAAGTGTTTGTTTTAGTACTTTGAGATTTATATCTTGAATTCCAGAGACTTTTTGCAAGTGAAAATGTGAATACCTTTGCTTGGGGTAGCAAGTTAATCCTAGGAGCAGGGTCTATATTCCCACATTTCTGGGGAAAAGTGAAAGGTCCCAGTAGCACTAAATTCCATCTATTTCTGCACTAAAATAGAAAGAGCAGTTCTTGTACTGACTGTGGTTTCCAGTCCTGTTTTGCTGTGCTTTGTCTGCATCTGCTCCCAGCAAGTGTGGCTGGCCTCGGTGATAAAAATAAACACGGAATAACTGAATTGCCCCTCGAGCAAACAGACTCTGCAAGCTCCATGCAGGGTCAGACCAAGTGTGTCTGTCTGGCATTCCTGGGATGTGATGCAGGTAGATGTGAGTCCTGGGCAGGATCAGGCAGAAACAAACTCGGGGGTTTTGTATTGCTGATGCCAGAGCTGGTGGTGCCCTAACGAGGGTGGAGCTGCAGCTGCCCGGCAGTGGAGCAGGAAGGGTCACAGGGCATGGCAGAAAAACGGGCTGCATGTGGAAGGTCAGGAGTATTGCCTGCTCTTGATGGCAGGGGATTAAGGAGCCACTGCAGAATTCCTGCTCTGCTGGTCCAGGTTCAGCTTCTGAAGGTGTGAAATGCCTGCTCTTTGTGTGAGGTTCATATTTGAGTTCTGTTGATGTGTTAATCTACTCAAGGGCAGAGCCAAAGGATGACCAGCAGCAACAGGAAACTGCCCAGGGTCCTCAGGTTCTTAGCTTGCACTTTGGGTGCCAGAGCCTACCCTCCCAGCCCACCTTTTCTGAGGGGAATTACAGATCTTCAGGCTCTCTTACTGTGTCTGTCAATAGTGTTTTAGCAGTTTGTGGGTATCTGGTAGAATAGAACTAAACTTTTAAATTGTGTTGGACAAAAGGGCAATGTAGCAACTCTGTTCCTGACTCTACCCCATGACTATTGCTTTTCCTTCATACTTACCTTTTAAGTGAATGTAAAGAACTTTGTAAATGCAAAATACTATAAGCATTGAATTGGAAGATCTTGCTATGAAGCTCTCAGATTTTTTTTTTTCACACAACCACCACGTTGCTGGTGGGAAAAGAAATTATTGTTCGGAAGAAAAACACTTAATAAGGATATTTAAAAATGGAATGGTGCCTAAGAGGCTTTGTCAATAAGCAGTTTTGAGGCCATGCTCTGAAGAACAGCTTAGATGTCCCAAAGGATTTTTACAGCTCTGCCAGTGAGTCTAATTACAGATAATTCTGCTCTCGCTCAAGTCATGCCTCACTTGGATCCTTCCATCAGCACGGCTGCTGGAACAGTAGCGTTAATATTGCTTTTTGCAATTTAGTTAATTGGCTGTGATGTACACTGAAGTTACATATATGTGGAATGAATAAATTGCTTCTTGTCTGAATCAGATAGATCATAACAGTTTGTGGGTTTGTGTTTTTTAGGGACTATGTGAGGAGCGAACTGGAATCAGGCTACGAAGGACCAATGTACTTGGAGCCTCTCTCCATGAACCGTTTCATGACTGCTTTAGTAGGTAAGTGCTTTAAATAATTGAGAGGAGAGAGCTCTAATTCTCTTCATTGGAACCTATGCATGTTTTATCTCTTTATTACTTTAACTTGTTGTGATTCTTATTAATATGCAAGAGGCATGGGAGGATAGCTGTGTCCTGCCTGGCTTTTTCTATGCCATTGATTTACCAATAGCCCATACTTGCAGCTCTGAAATATTTTCCAGGTCTGTTTGTTATGCTTTGCCTCTGTTATTCTCAGACTGTGCAGTCTGATTGAGAACAACTGGAGTGTCTATAATAACTTAATGTGGAAAGTACTGTAGAAATTTCAGTAGTTATGTGCATTTGTAGTGTTTTTGTTAATTCAGGTGTTGTACACATAAATTCTTCATTGGCTTTATAGCTAAACAATGTCATTCTCTTACAAATCTGATTAAATGCATTGATGGGTGTGAGCATGGGACTACAGGCTACTGGTTTTCTTACAGAGTCCTGAGGATATTTCTAATTAAAGAATTAAGGAATAACAAGTCAAACACATGTAAATTGTTTGATTAATGGCAGAGATGACTTCCCTACCTAAAAATCCCAAATAAATCATGAAGAATTGGACTTCCCAGAGTGTTTCTTTACCCTTTGAACTTTGACTGGAAGAGAATAAATTCACTGTTAAGGTTGCTACACCAAACCATATGTTTTCCAGATTGGATACTGGTATACACATACACACATACACCATGTGTATTTTAAAATGAAGTTTGAGACAAGCTTGGAAGAAAAATCTTCCTTAATTCCTTTCACTAAGATCTATGGTTTTCATCAGATTATTGACAGAGTTAGTCAGCCATGTACTACTGTTGGCAAAACTCAGCTGCTTTCTGTTTACTTGCAGCTGCTACTGGCAGATAAAAATGGGTTTACTACTTTACTGTATGTTAGGTCTGACAGAATTTACCCATCTCCTGTTTGCCTGCATCCTTACTTTTAAATGTGGCATTTGTCTTTGATTTTAATATTTTTAATAGAAGTAACACTGGTAATTTTCAAGGAAAGATTATTTAGATACAATTTTCTCTCTCTTCTGACTGTCTAGATATATTTTCTTGTCTTGTCAAATGATGCCAAAGCACAGCTAAAGCTTTTGGCATGTTTTCTATGAGAAAATGTTTGTAATTAGTCCTGTGAATCTCTCCCAGGTGCAGTGCAGGGTTCCATGGTAAAGCAGAATCCCTCAGAGAGCTTCACAGAGCATCATGCAGGCCTGGGCAGGAAGAGATCAGGAGGCATTGTGTCATTCAGTAACATGTAAAAACTAAACCAAGGGTCAAACCCAGCATGCTGCATCTAGGTTTTAATAGGGACTAAAAACAAGTGAGAAAAAGATAATGGTGTTAGTCAGTACAGTTTTGGGTTGTAGTGGGTATCAGACTGAAGTGTCCCCTTACTGTAATTGTGTTTCAGAAATAGGAGCTTGTGATTGTATTAGCAAATGTGTATGTGTTAACATATTTAATATCACCATTCTTAATTTTCCTTATTCTTTCATAGCCAACTTGGAAATGTAATTTTGGTCTTGATGACAAGCAGTCATCTTTGGAGACGAGTTGTGAAAGTGGTCTGTGAGGCTTGACAGTGTTTTGTATAAATATGAAATGTTTTCATTTGTTGTATACAAGATTTGTTGTATACAAGGTTATTTATTCAGTGGAGTCTTAGAAATACACAGTGGTGTCATCTTCACAGCAAAATCAATGTACAGGTGCTTTGCTCCATCTTTTTCTTACACATTCTCAGAGGGTGTTGTGCTGCAGCACTGCTGGCAGGCACCAAAGCAGGTGCATGAGGGAATGGACTAATGGTGCTACTGGTACAGCTCTGGTTCCTGAAGTTCTGGTCAGAATTAAGGGAGTGATGTACAGTATCAATTGGTTCACAGAAGTAACCTTTGTTAATGCTTTTATTCATTAATACTTTCTGAGGGGGATCTCACAGTCATTTCTTCCCCTGCATTTAACTCAGCTAGGGATGATAATGTGTTCCTAAGTGCTGGATGGAAGAAATAAATGTCTTTGGAGATGGCCCCTTGGATGAGTGAGCCACTTTGGAGCACATCAGCTGTGAACTTTTTCAAAGCTGCTGCGTGGTTTTGCAGTGATGCTACCATGAGGACTTGCTTTTCCTTATGGCACAGTAATGGGGTTTTATATTAACTTTCGGATACCTTGTTTTTGAGTAAGTCACTGATGTAGCCAGGGAGTTTGTCAACATCAGCTTTCTAAAATTGTGAATGAAATAAAGATGCTTCTTTACTCAGAGTGGCTGTACCATGTCAGCTTCCTTGTTGAACATTTTCCATTAGCTTGTGCACTGAGAGGCTCTGGCTACTTGTCAGCAATGTTTAATGTATCTGTGGAGGTTTGGGGAAGGGAAAAGAATGGGCAGGAAGTTCACACAGTGGATTTTTTCCTTATTGCTTCATTCCCTAGCAGAGGACCCTGGTTGGTGTCTTCCAGGGGTGTTACAGCTGTTGGGTTCATTAGCTGTGACTGTCAGTTTTCAGGCCACAGCATTTCAGTTTACAGGGTGCAAACATTCAGCTGGATTTGATAGTCATAGCAGATACCTCGAGTGCTAAAATCTGTGGTTTGATGTGAGTTACTTTCTCTGGCTGATCCTGCTGTGTGATGGTAATGACTGATCCTGTGCGGCCCCACCTGCAGATAAAGTGTGATTTACTGCAGAGAGGGATTGGCTGTCCTGAACTAAGGTGCTGCTACCCCAGTTTAAAATGGGAAGTACCATCACTCAAAGCTCTGTTGGAGACATTCATGCCTTTCCTGCAGGGGTTGAGAATTGACAAGGTGCACACTTCAGGGAGGAGGTTGGAGCCTCCAGAGAAAGTGCTCCATGTATTTCCTTTGATAGTGTGTACAATTCTCCTTCCCATGACAAGTAACTTTTGATCAGTGTTTAAATTAGAAGGGTGGGAGGGCCAGAGCTGAGCAGGGATGAGCAGCACACTCCACACGTGGCTGTTGGAGGAAAGCAGGTTCTGCTGTTTACTGAGACTGAACTTAGAGGCTCTAATTTGTGATCAGAGACCTCCAGAGAGCACTGGATTGTTTATTGTGATGCTGTTGCAGTATTTGATTTAGATGACAACACTTACTAAATTAAATGACGAACACATTGGATGCTGGTGTTTGTGTCCCTTTGTGTGTGAAGCTGAGTTGCCGTAGTTACCGTGAGTCGCAGAAATTCTCACAAGCTGCCTGCCAGGCTCCTGAATATGACAGCACAGCAGTGAGCTGGTGGTGTTTTAAATAGGGTTGTAGCAACGTGTGTGTGGGCAGAGAACAACAAAGCAGAGGGAGAATGCTTCAGAGCTGGAGTCTGCTGAACGTTTAAAGAGATGAGTAGAGTAACTTTCTGGGAGGCTCAGAAGACCCAGTATGCTGATAGTGCCGTGCTGAGAGCAAGGGTGCTTGTTCTGCAGAGACATCTGCTAATTCAGAAATACATCTATCAAATTGACAGTAGGAATTTAACTTGAAAGGGGACAGCATGAAGGAGGGAGGACTTTGTATGCTTAAGCAGTAGAAGTTAGAGATTGCTTTCAGCTCAGTTGCAGTTATTTTGAAAGCAGAAGTCCTTCCCTAGGTAGGGAAGCTTGGCAGAATGAAAGCAAAACTCTGGTACTGCTGTTTCTCACTCTGGCAGCTTCCCTCCCCAAGCCATCCAGAAGGGCTTACAAGGTCAGTGAGCTTAAGTGAGTACATGGAGCTCATGCAGACCTAGAGATGTTACTGGCCTTGGTCTGGTTCGTCTCTTTTTCTAAGCCAGGTTCTGGTTTCAGGAAAAGTTACGAAATGCAAACTTGGAGGTAGTTCCAAACCAGGGCATTAGCACTTGAATTTAGTACCACGTATTGTGGCATTTGGATATAAATTAACATAGATGGTGAAGAAGGGTCTGTTTTCAAATAATATGCCATAAATTTCTTCCTTGTTGCAAAATGATGAATGAGGATGTTTGTGTGCTAACTCTTATCCACGTCACCCCATTCAGTTTCCTCTGGTATCGAGGGTACAACGTCAGTGTCTCTGATGGAAGCAGTTATACTGAAGTGATCTTAGTGCTGTAGAAAAACTACCCTCCAAATCTGTGGGTGTGTGGGGGAGATGTGCTCATGCTTGTGCCCCCACCAGCTCTTAAAGAGAATTTAGTTGTTAATTATCTGTCACTTGCAAGCTTCAGTGATCATTCTGAGCAACTGCCTCAGGGCGTTATGAAATTATTGAAGTCTCAGCTGCTGACCTGGCTGTTCTCCTGTTGCTGTTCTTGGTCAGTAATTCCTCTTGACAGTGTAAATATTGTTGCTCTAAAAGCCATTTGGGACCTCTTGATTGCTTTTTTGTGTAGGTCAGGATGAAATAGTGTAGCTGGGCTTCAGAAAAGCTGCTCTGTGTACAGATACTGATGGGATTTCAGCTGAGCTGGGGGTGGTGAGGAAAAAGAGGGCTGGCTTGTTGAGTTACACTCTGTATGATTTATTCCTGGGGCTTTATTAATCTGATTCTGCATGTGTTTTGGGTTTACAGCTGGCTAATCTGGGAAGTGAAAGCATTTTGGAAAGGGTAACTTTAGTGACCCAGCAAAAGACACAGAGAGGAGCCTGGTTTCGTAACAGAGATGTCCTACTTAGAACCGTCATAATATGCTGGATGTTGATAACGGTGTTCTGGAAAGATAACGCATTAAAAATACGCTTTTTCCTGAAGGGGATAATCAGCTTGATTCTGAACTGCTGTGTCGCGTTTCCAGGGCAGCTGGTGGTGTGCACGCTCTGCTCCTGCGTCATGAAGACCAAGCAGATCTGGCTCTTCTCCGCGCACATGCTCCCTCTGCTGGCTCGGCTCTGCCTCGTCCCGCTCGAGACCATCGTCATCATCAACAAATTCGCCATGATTTTCACCGGCTTGGAAGTTCTCTACTTCCTGGCGTCAAATCTTCTGGTGCCCTATAACCTGGCGAAGTCTGCGTACAGAGAGCTTGTCCAGGTAAAATGTAACCATTCTGTTTTCTGTGCCTTTTATGCAGGAAACAAGTAAAAAAAAACCACTTTAGCTGTCTTCTGTGCACCTGTGTTTGTGTGCTAACTCATCCTTTCTTAGCCAACTGAATAAGCTTCTATCCATAGCCTCTTCTTTCTTTAATTTATGTTAGCTTTGGATGGGTAAGCAGTTAAGACACGAGCCTGAATTATGCTGCTGGCCAGCTGAGCATGGCCACTTTGCTTGGACTTTGCTTATTGCTTCCCAAATCCAGGATAAAAGACAAGATTGTGTCACACTGGAATTTATTTACAGCCGTATGAAGTGAGGAAGGTAATCCCTGGGCATTCATTGTAGTAGCTGTTCTTTTCAAGAAACACTTTCTGTATGAAAAGTGTTTGTAATTATAGAAGTGGTAAATTGTGAGTGACACTGAAGCTGATTTTCAGTCTAATAATCACTGATTTGAAAAGCTGTGGTATTTTCTTTAGAGCAGACACATTACTGAGACCTCGAACAAGAAGACTGATCTGATGTGTCCATTTTCTTAATGCTTTGACATCTGATGAAAGCTTAGCAAAGGACACTTTCTCAGTGGTACAGAAACATCACATTTCCTGTATTTTTATTTTTTATATATATATACATATACACATCCTTCTCTATATTTCAATATAAAGAGATTGATGCTTGCTTGGCTTTCGACTGAGCCACTGTTTCAGCTTTTACCACTGTCTGGATTTTTTTTCAAACCAAGACACTTGGGTTTTTTGCCTTCTGCTCTTCAGTCCAGAAGCAGTCTGAAAACTAACTTGTTAAGCTCTTTCAAAACCTTCTTTAAAGCTCTTGTTTGCTGTCTTATCTGTCATACACAAACAAAAATTTGGCAGCAGGAGGTGTGTGCTGTGCCAAGGTCTCAGCCTGTCATGTTGATCATTGATGTCTGGTTATTTATTTTGTATGTAGTTGGTCTTTAGAGCAGGATTATCCTTCTGTGTTTGTACAGCACCTAGCATTGGTCTGACCTCATCCATGGAATCACAGATTTGTTTAGGTTGGAAAAGAACTCAGAGCTCATCAAGTCCAACGACTCAAACAAGTCCCTTGGTGCCACATTTATATATTTTAAATCCGTCCAGGGATGGTGACTCCACCACTGTGGAGCCTCTTCCAATGCCTGAGCACCTTCTCAGTGAAGAAATTTTTCCTGATAGCCAATCAAAGCCTCTCCTGGCTTGTACATTTGTTGATTTAAAAATTAATTTAGGAGCTGACTGGCAAAGCTTCAATATCTTGTTTTCCAGTGAGAATAGAAATATCATGCTTACTGTGCATAAGTGCCAAAATCTGGGGTAAAACAGTTGCATGTCTGCACAGCTCAAAGCCTTGCAAAAGGTTGGAACCAGCACTTCCATTTTCCATATACATGAATGGATGCACAGTTTGGCTCCCTGAAGTCAAATTCAGATTAGATGTGGATTTGAGACCTGTATCTGTTTTTTATTAGACAAATTTAAAACACTCAAAAATCTTACAAATGTTTTAATTGCAAATGCATTCCAGGTTGAAGGGGAAAAATAGTTGTTTCTTGCTGATTTTTTGTTTGTTTGTCAGAATTGAGTTCTAAATATTGCTGTTAGCCAAGTGTCCTCATCTCTAGAATTGCTTGTCTCCCCCCTGCCCTGTCCCAGTATTTCAAGTCTTTCCATGCCAGGCTGTATTACAGTAATGCTGAGGAAATATTCCTTGTATCCCTGCCCTTTGGACACTGATCATACTCTTTCTCCTGGCTTTTTAGGCAGAGGGCATAAAGTGTTGTTCCCTTGGGAACACAGAAAAAATGGCAGAAAATTTGTCATGTGGCACTGGGTTTATAAGAATGATGGATGCTGCTTTTCTAAATACCTGTAATAGAGTTGCACAGAATACTTGGGAGTGGTTTTCACATTGTACTGGCAAAACCCAGGATTTTTGTTTTTTAAGAACTTGCTGCTCCTTGTTTGTGTTCCTGAAACAGCAGAAAAAACATCAGCTCATGGTGTGTTCATGTACCTGGTGGCAGCTCTGCTACAAATCAAGGCTAGAAGTTTATTCCAGAGGAGGATATTGCCATTCCAACTGGAATATTTTCGTGCTTGTATTTCCATTGCTGTAACTCTGAGCAGTTGTTGGTTTTCAGTGCTGTCCTGGTGTTTGTGAGGTTACACACAAATCCAGCTATCTTAGGCTGGATTTGATTGTGGGTTTGATATCAGTGTCAAAACTTAGTGACTGTTGGGATGTTAAACACCAGGAGTGTTTCCTGAGAGCGCTAACAGGGCAGCTTTTTTGTGTTTGTGTCTGTGTGTTAGGCTGTGCCCAGGGGTATAATTTAAAAGCAGGCCCAGAACCTTGGCTGCCTGTTTGCAGCAGAAGATGCCAGAAATGTCTCACGGTTATGAATCTGCATTATGAGCGTAGCATGACCCTTTTCCACTGTGCCAGGAGCTGCACAGGATTGCTTGCCTTGCTCCCAGGCCAGGGGAGTCTCCTGAGGGCAGGTGCACTTCCTTGACAAGTCTGTGAGCAAAGCAGGAGCTTGGCACTGTGTCCCTGCCAGCAGCAATTGCTTGTCCATCAGCCCCAGTGCTGCAGCAGGTCCCGTGAGTGTCATATCCCTCATGCCTTTCAGCTTTTGTAGCATTTCCAAAAATTTCCGTGCCATGATGGCTTCTGTGGCGTTGTGGGAAGCAGGTGATGAAGAATTAATAGTTCTGAGCAGTTTCCTTTTGACCTAAGTCCAGATGAAGTTCCAGCATCTTGGAAATTATTGTAACTTAAGTCTTTGCAATGGAAAGGAAGTACTTTGAGCTTCAGAGTCTTCCAATATAAGGAAGAAAAATTTTGAAATTCATTCTTAAGCGTGAATTTCAAAACACTTGGTGGATTAGGTATGTGATCCTTTTGAGATACTTAAGCATAAAATTTGGGGGAGGGTTAAGTTTTTCCTTAAAAACAGGTCAGCAAAGTAGATTTACTACTTTTTTAATGGTATGACTCATTTCAGTGTTTGATGTGTGCAGTGACTCGGCAGTAGCTGCAGAGAAAACAAAATTGCTGTGACTTAAACTGGGCAAGAGGATCTGAGAGGCTGGCATGACCCAGAGCCACGTGTCCTCATCCTTCCAGCTGTGAGTGGGCTGCAGGGAGCTCCAAGCCAGGTGTTTGTAGGAAGGGACATTGAGCTGGTCTGAGGGTTTGCTGCTGGAGTCAGGTGCTTCTGCCTCCTGCCAGACAGACTGAAAATGTCACTGCAGAACCTGAGCTCTGCCTTTGTCAAACTGCACTTTGATGTACCTCCTCTCTTCCTGGGGGATGGCTGATGTCATGGGGATCATCCTTGCCTTCCTTGTGACTGTATTGTTGACTTCCCTTTTGTTATCAAATCCCAAGAGCTGTGACTCAATAACAAATTGTCTTTTTGTGTCTTCCCAGGTGGTGGAGGTGTATGGGCTCCTGGCACTGGGAATGTCTCTGTGGAATCAGCTGGTGGTCCCAGTGCTTTTCATGGTGTTCTGGCTTGTCTTATTTGCTCTTCAGATCTATTCCTATTTCAGTACACGGGACCAGCCTGCCTCCAGAGAGAGGCTCCTCTTCCTCTTCTTAACCAGGTAATTCAGGAGCCTGCAGATGGTTTTCTGTTTGAGCTGTCTTCTGAAATCAGTATCTGTGCTCTTTTAGAAATGAGATGTGGTTATTGGCTTTATTGCACTTAGATACCCAACAAATATTTTTCCTTATAGCAGTGACTATGCATATAAACCCTGTTAAGCTTGTCCTGCAAAGGCATGGATCCCATTCAGGGCAGACATTGATAGAACTGTGGGAGAGCTCCCAAAGAAAGCAAAATATTCCTTTGAGGAAGGAGTAGCCATAATTAGAGCTTTGGTCCAGAAGTTGTTTTCAGTATATAAATTGGTTTTAAGTCTGAGATACCTCAGCTGAAGTTCAGCCCATCTGATATCTTATTCATGATTGTGTTGCTTTCTGAGCTTTAGATGTCTTGCTTCATCATTTTGTGTGGGACACGTTCTTGAATTCATCCAAGCAGCCAAAGCACCCAACTCCCAAAGCAACTTTTGAGCCCAGTGGTTAATGTGGCAGAGGTGTAAAGATCAGAAAGATACGGGATTTGTAAAAGCTTTCTAAAAACATTAAAAGATTTTATAGGCCGTAAAGTTTTATGAAGTTTAAAGGTTGTAATATAAAGGATAGAGATCCGTGTTGGTGCTATTACCGAGAGGCTGCATTTGAGGGATTCTCCTGGCTGGAACCTGTGAAAAAAGCCTTTTTCAGCTTTTGTACATACAGAGGGAGCAGAATGCAGGGCAGAGAGGACCTGGAGGTGCTGCAGAAGCTGTGTTAGGCAGATTAGGTACAGTGCCATAGTGGGATGGGGAAAAGAGGGGTGTAATAGTTGTCTAAACACAGCCAGCTAGCACAGGACAGAGTCTTTAGGGATCATACCTCATTAGTTCTGCTATTTGATTAGTAACTTCTTCATCACTACAGTTTTCCAATCAGACTTTCCAGTTGCTGGGCTTTTTCTTGCCTTGCTGTATCTGTCTATGGTGCCATCCTGTAGGCTGTCAAAATTAATTATCATTAAGGAGAAACGCCAAGGATTTATACTGCATATAGTATTAAAATTGCTTATGGTGTCACCCTGCATTATGCAGAAGCACTGACTATATTCCTGCTTATTAACTAAACCACTGGGGTCTGAAATTTTTCTTCCAGTTCATTTCTTCTGGAATTTTAGTTTTGTTACAATAGAGGAGAAGCAGTCCTTTTCCTTGAAGTTGAGTTTATTCCTACACCAAATTGTTATACTTCTCCTATTTGTGGCAAAACAGGGACAAAACACTGATTCATCTTAAAAACACAAACTGTAATGGTATCACTAACAGCCTCTGACCCTGTGGAGGGAGCTGAAGTATCTTGTCAGGTCAGGTAATAATGTAGTGCTGGCTGTTCAACAGAGTGGAAGAGAAGATGTGCTCTTCCATGAAAACAAGTGAATTCTGCATCTGTGCCCTGTAAGTGAACAATTGCTTCAAGCAGTGGGGCTGGAGTTCAGGTGGGAGCAGTTGGGGTGTACACAGCAGCTGTGTCTGACTCCATGAGGAGTGGCTGTGCTGCATCAGACCAGCTCCTGCTGGAGCCTGGGATCCAGTTCCCAGCAGTGGCTGCAGGTGAGGTCCTGGAAGGACACCCACCCATTATGTGACAAACAGGATGCTTCCTAGGACTCATCCAATCCTGCATCCAACTTCTTCTGTCAGCTGCATTAGCTGGATGTGGCTAATAAGTATTTCAGTAACCCTCCAAAAACTCTTCCATCAGTTTGTGGGTTCTGCCCTTGAGCCCATACACTTGTGTCATTTGGAAGATCCTGAGGGAAGGCATTTTTCTAGCACAGACTCATGTCTGTAATGAAAAATTCATTGTGATTGCTTGAATCCATATAATTTCATTCAGTGTCCCTCAGTTAATGTACTGGGGAGGGGAGACATGGATATCAAGTTGTTTTCTTGAAGACTGAGAGTAGCATAAATCTGTTTTTCCCAGACTGGGAAGCTCTTGTTCAATATTTGCTGTTTAAAACTATTTTGTACCTTTCATTGTTCTTGTTCCTCTCAAAATCTTTTCCATGGGTTTGTAACTGCTATGATTTTTGAGAAGCCATGAAGAGTTCAGCTCTTTGGGACAATTTATAAGTTTGTGCTTGACACATAAACATAGTAAAGCTCCCCAGGCATCTCTTGACCTCATAAGCTCCTCTGGGTCCTTTGCACAGTAGATCAAGTTTAAGAAGAGTCCTAACATTACTCTAACAAAAAAGCAGAAAAATCAGAATTCTTGATTACTGATAATTTATTTTGAAGCAAAACGTAGAGTTCCTCAAATGCCCTGAATAAATAACTGCTTTAAATACTGCTTCTCACTATCTTGATCAGCAGGAACATCTAAAAGCTTTTTGCTTGCCCCCCTTGGCTTGGTAAACAGGCAGAATTTTAAGGCTTACCAGAAGTACTGTAAATAGAATATGTAAACATATCAACATTTTCTGCAGTGAATTGCTTTCAAAGGCTATTTCAGGTTTAAGTAGTCACTAAGAGACAAAGTTAATGTCTCTTGGATGAGCTTTGTTTATTTTTGAAGCATGTGCTTCCTCAAAACTCTTTTGTCAGAGCCCTGGACTGCTTCACTCATCACTCAGTTAATTAGCAGGTCTTGGTTTTGACCATGGCAATTTCTCTCTCAAGACTACTGTCCTGAGGAACAAATGAAGATTTTTTAAATTTTTTTTTTAATGAATGTGTCATTGTATTACCTTGGATTATGCATGAGTATTTCCGGGTGTGTAACCCCTGGCTGGCAGCTTTAAAGGTTCTTTATCTTTGCCTGGCATTGGCAGTGCTGTGTTTCTGAAGCACATTCAGGGCTTGGGCTGCTTCACATAACACAGTGCCAGGGCCAGTAGAAGAGCAGCCTGAAAGTGGGTGATGCAGCTGTCAAATGGAGTCTGGGGTCTCTATCTCTGGGGCTTTGCTGTAGCAAAAGAGAGGAAGAAACCAGCTGAAGAAGAGCCTTCTCTGCTGTCTTCTGCTGCTTCAGGCTCATCGGCTGTTTCCAAGCTCGGCTGTTCCCAAGACAGGTGTTGCACACCTGACCCTGATGGGGACCCTGACAAAAAGCCCCAGTCTCCCAACGGGATTTATTAGTTTGATGTTGGTGTGCATTATTATGGGTAGGAGGAGAACATGCCTTAGTGAATCCATCTGCTTTAACTGTCTTTGTGGTGCTGGGTGAAATTCCAGCAGTGTGTGGAGGCTCTGGCTGGCCTGTGGCTGCGAACCCAGCGGCAGCAGGACAGTGCCACCACGTGGCCCTGTGCTGAGGGGACTGCAGGGATGTCACAGCACAGCCCTGCCTCCAAGGGGGAGCTGCAATCAACTTATATCTTGGAAAGAAGTAATAAAATCCACTCACCTTTTTCTTTTATTGGAAGATTTAATGGCAGTGTAGAACTTTTAACATTTTCATTAAACCGGTCCAATTTTGCTTTACACTTGCACAGTTAACAGGACAAGGGGAGAGCTCATCACAGTAGTTTTAACCTTTTCTTTTTGTTTCTTTTCCTCTCTCTCCTGGCAGTATTGCCGAATGCTGTAGCACTCCATACTCACTGCTGGGATTGGTCTTCACAGTCTCTTTTGTTGCTTTGGGAGTTCTGACTCTCTGCAAGTTTTACTTGCAGGGTTACCGAGCGTTCATGAACGATCCTGCTATGAACAGGTAAGTGCCTCGTTGTGCCTAGGGTCTGAAAAGAAACAGATAGAAAGGGGATTTATGTAAAAATACAGGGGTGGCATTGCAGTTTTTTGACTCTTGACCTTTTGGCAGGTATTTTGTATGCCAGTGTGTGTGCATTAAAAAGATTTGAGGTGAAAATATTTGTCACAGACTTCTTGGGAGATGGTTCATTTCTGCAAAAATTCAGGGCTGTTACTTGGGATTTACAATCACTTGTATTTTCATGAGTCACTGAAAAATTTTCACATGCTTGGATAATATAAACACTTTGTATTTTCATTTCCTCATGTCCCCTCTAATCACGTATGAAACATTACTGATCTGTGAGATTTAAAACACAGCATTGTATGGATTGCTTGTAAATTGTTATGGGAAATAGCCAAAATGGCTTTTCTCAGGCTTGTCCCAACTTGTCTAATATGAAATTGGGATCCTGACACTGCCTTTCCTGTTACTCCAGCCCATAACTCTCTGTAGATACTTGAGACCATTTGCAAAAGAATGTTTTACATTTTGGATTCCAAGATGCGGAAGCAGAAAGGTTATAAATTGGGGCTGAATAAGAGTAACTGTATAAAAACATCTTTTGGTGCATTATGTACTTTATTGCAATAAAATAGTTGTGGTGCTCCTCAGAGGGATTCAAGTCACTCTGAGGTTCCAAGACAGAAAGGAGTGGATAGCTGTATTTGGTTTAGGTACAGGGGGAATAAACTGAAAAATGACAAAAATTGGTGATTTGCCTAAACTGGGTCCTTAAAATGCTTTGTGCTGGGTGGTGTCTGAGCTGGATGTAGCCCAAATGCTGCTTGTCAGGAGCAAAATCTGCTGGTTCATAAGCCCTGCACTTCAGCATTTCTGAAAACATCCCTCCCTGATTAAAGCCTTCCAAGGGACACCAGTGAAACCTAAAACCAGTGACATATGAAAGGCTGTGACAGAAGCAGACAGTTTATTTCCTGGTGTTTCTGGATGTACTTTTGAACCAGCATTGACACAGAGATGTGATTGTTTGTTTTTTTGACTGTGTTGATCTGCAGGGGGATGACTGAAGGAGTCACACTCCTGATCCTGGCCGTGCAGACAGGTTTGATTGAGCTCCAAGTTGTGCATCGGGCATTCCTGCTCAGTATTATTCTTTTCATTGTGGTGGCATCCATCCTTCAGTCCATGCTGGAAATTGCTGATCCCATTGTCTTGGCATTGGGAGCCTCAAGGGACAAGTAAGAGACTGGTTTCCTAAACTGAGAGTTACTCAATGTTCTTTTAGGAGGTGATAAACTAGTAATTGATGGCTTTTAGTACTTGCAAAGTTGCCTTGGTTTTATTTTCTGTGTGCAGATTTCTTTTCTAGTCCAAGTTCTCTAGTTTTGTGGTTCCAGTTAAGCAAATCCAGGACTGTGCTCTCCCCACCCACACTCTATTGTGTGTGTTTGCAGAATGGTTTTTCTTAACCTCCTCTGCAGTTGGGTGAGTTTCCCTCTAAAGCAGTGATCTCACCCAGCTGTTGAGGGTGGGAAGTTTCTAGGAGTGATCTTATGTTAAATATTGTAAAACCTATTTTTTTTTGTGATCCCAAAATGATGTGGTTTACTGGCACAAAATAAGAGGTGTAAGGTTTGCCTTAGTGTCCCACATGTTTGGATTGTGTGGGATTGTTCGGTTTCATTTGTGTTTTGAAGAACTGTATTGGTGCTATGTGTTGTTCTCATATGAATCTGTTTTTATCTTTGTCAATTGCATTTGTCTTTTCCCTTTGTGTAACCTGTAAGTGAAGAAGTGAACAGAGGAAGTTTGTTTATGCGTAGAGTTTGTTTAGCTTAGAGATGTTCTGTGTGCAGTAAGTTAACTTCCAGGATAGAAACAGGGAAAGGGAGTAGAGCCAGGATAGGAGCATCTGCCCAGCTTAAACAAGCAGACTGTGGGGATATCGAGTTTTAACTCTTCTGCCAAATCTCCCAGGGAGTTCTAAATCAGCAAGAAACAGGATAAATTCCACTTCAGCTCTCACTCCCTCACCTACAGACACAAAACTGCAGACCTCAAAGTCACTCTGATGTTCCTTCAGACTGTATTGAATTAATCAGTTTGTGCTGCTGTCCTGTGCCCCCAAATGGTTTGACTTTTTCTGTACCTTATCTCCAGAGCTAAGTGAGGTTAAAATACAACCTGAGGAACAAGTAGAGATGGTACAGTAAATTAGTGGAGATATTCTGAAAGCCTTCACAAATGGGTGGCTCTAAAAAGATTGATGGTGTGTTTAGGTTGGGGAGGAGATTAGGAAGAAGCAGGTGATAGGAGCAGAGTAAGGACTGGCAGAGATAAATGTTCAAGTCCTGCTACATTTCTTCTTTAGTGGTCTCTGAATTGGGGAATATACTTCTAAAGGTGGCAGGGTTAAATCTGGTGATGAAAGGAAGTAGCTTTGCCCCACACATATTAGCAAAAACATGAAGAATAGATGCAAGAATTATTTAATTTGGAGACCTCTTGTTTGTTAGAGAAGTGTCCAAACAGTTACACGTTTAATAATTTATTTTAATGGACTTCTATCTGTAACATTCATTCCATCTGTAACACTGAGATCAACTTATTTTGCCCATAATTTTTGTCTTTCTATTGAAAACAGCAAAGGTCAGATGAGAGAGAACTTTCCACAGTTGTAAGCATGTGTGCAAGCTGGGAATGAGACTGTGCCCAAGTAAAATAGAAACTCCTTTCAACCAGCTAAAGCCTTGAGCAATTATCTAACGTGCCTGCATCCAGCAGTCATTCTATTCTTATTCTGACACTCAAATCTGACTTGAAAAATAAAAACCTATTGTGTTGTTTTGCAGGAGTCTGTGGAAGCACTTCCGAGCAGTCAGCCTCTGTCTGTTCTTGCTCGTGTTCCCCGCGTACATGGCCTACATGATTTGTCAGTTTTTCCACATGGATTTCTGGCTGTTGATCATTATCTCCAGCAGTATTCTGACCTCTCTTCAGGTAAGAAATCAGCCCTGTGAAGCGCTGTATTAACTGTGATCCTGTTATTCTGAGGAGGAAAATACATGATGAGAAAAGAACAGGGATGAGAGAAGGACAGAATTATGAGGGGTAATAAAAAATCTCTTTCTGTGTCCTGTATCTGAGGCTGAGGAGCTCCTGGGTGGGCTGAGAACAGAGGTGAATGGAAGTCTACTTCAAACTGTAAAGCCAAAAGGCTTTTGAGGGTGTGTAACTATCATAGTAAAAAGGTTTTTTTCCCAGAGTACTCATTTATGTGTCATTACTTACCTGTAACTCTTTGAAAGCAATTTGATGTTTGAAACACAGTAGTGTAAATAGAAGAAATGTTTTATACTATAAGTACTTGTTATTACTTGGGCTTTTTATTATTAATTTTTTTAATTGCCCCTTAAAATGCTCAGCACTCTTGTTTAATCAACTCAGCTGTGTTTTGGACTCAAGAAGGTAAAGAAGGGGAAGTACTTGGGAACAAGCTTAAATACTTTGAAAGAAAGAGCAACTTTTATTTGCCTTGAAGTTCAGCAACAATTCCACTACTTTGGGGCTTGCCCTCTGTCCAGCTTGGGAGCATTGTGTGGACAGAGCTCGATGGCCAGCCCTGACTCAAGCTCCAGTTCAGAAAGCTGAGCTCATGGTCTTGCACTTTGTTTCAGGTGCTTGGGACCCTCTTCATTTATGTTCTGTTCATGGTGGAGGAGTTCAGGAAAGAGCCAGTGGAGAACATGGATGATGTGATCTACTACGTGAACGGCACCTACCGGCTGCTGGAGTTCCTGGTGGCCCTGTGCGTGGTGGCCTATGGAGTCTCAGAAACCATCTTTGGAGAGTGGACTGTCATGGGCTCCGTCATCATCTTCATCCACTCCTACTACAACGTGTGGCTGCGGGCCCAGCTGGGCTGGAAGAGTTTCCTCCTTCGCAGAGACGCTGTGAATAAGATAAAATCTCTGCCCGTGGCCACGAAGGAGCAGCTGGAGCAGCACAATGACATCTGTGCCATCTGCTACCAGGTGGGAATGGAAGTGTCAAAGGATTGGCTTGAGTTGAAATACCACACTAAGTTCAGTCTTCAGCTAATAAAATAAGTGCCTTGAATTATGTTTAATGAATAATACTGCGCTCAGTAAGTTACTGGAATCACCCAGTTTTCTGCTTTGTGCAAATTGATTTGGAGTGCTGTCACCAGGATCATTCTTAGGAATGAAGAGCTTGGATGTGCTTAAACTGCCTTTTTTTTCCTGCAGTTACACAGCAGACTCTGTCCTTAAGCTGCTTTGACACCTCTCATGTTTGGGTTGAGCTGGTCTCACTAATAGCAGCAAATGTTCCCTTTCTTCATTACTGGAGGATTTTGGTAGTGAAAGACAACATGTTCTTGGGAGCTGATTTGTTACTATTCTGTAGAAGCAGCTCAGTCTCTACAGACGTTGCTGCTTCATGTGCAGTGTCAGTTTTGTAGCAGAAACCTAATTATCAAAAGGTTAAGGGTCTTGCTGACATAAGCCAGCAGATGTAAGGACCTTAGGCATTAATGCTGAAAGTAATATCTTTATCACACTTCCAGCTCCAAAGTCTCTTACTCTTGAATGGAAATTGTAGTTATGTGTGACAGTGAAAGAATCACCCTAACATTAGTAGTGTACAGTTAAGAGTGGGATTGGATTGGCTCCAAACTTGATAGAAATTCTTTGAAGAGTAAAACTGCCAGATTGAATGACAGTGTTCAAAACACCAGACTAGTATTATGTGGGTCTCAGCTGGCAGAGTTCATGGTGTCATTTAATTTCTGGTGTTGTTACATGTTGTATCCGTCGTTGTCCTGTTTTGAGTTGCTTGATTGTTTCTTGAGCCAACCAGTCCTGTGATTCTCATCCTGAAAAGGTCATGTTCAATAATATCTTACAAACAAAGTTTTTTTGCCTCATTTTTAATGCCTGTAATAAAGAAAACAAGACCTGGCCTGTATTTGAACTGTGTGTGTATCAGAGAATCTTTAAGGTGGGAAAAGACTCCAAGATGGAGTCCAGCCTGTGGCTGATCCCCATGGCACTGAGTGCCATTTCCAGGCCTTCCCTGGACACCTGCAGGGACAGTGACTCCACCACCTCCTTTCCAATGCCTGACAACCTTTTCTGTGAAGAAATTCTTACTGATGCCCAGAGCAAACCTCCCTGCCACAGCTTGAGGCCATTTCCTCTTGTCCTGTTGCTTGATCACTGAGAGAGGGGAGACAGCCCCACCTGGCTGTCCCCTCCTGTCAGGGAGTTGTGCAGAGCCAGAAGGTTCCCCCTGAGCCTCCTTTTTTCAGGCTGAGCCCTCCCAGCTCCCTCAGCTGCTCCTGATATGAAACATTGTGGATGTGAAGGAAGGAATGTTCTCTTTCTTGTCTGTGGGCTGCTTCTGTCTCGTCTGTGCCTGGTGAGCCCATTAGATGCATGAGATGAGAGAAGAGGAATGAGGAATGGGATTACAAACAATAATATTTGAGCTTCTTTCTTTTTTTTTTTTTTTTTTTTTTGTGTCTTTCAGGATATGAAAACTGCTGTAATCACTCCATGTAGCCATTTTTTTCATGCGGGTTGTCTTAAGAAATGGCTGTACGTGCAGGAAACCTGCCCTCTGTGCCACTGCCAACTGAAGAGCCCTTCACAGCTCCCAGGACTGGGACCAGAGCCAGTGCAGCAGCCAAATCCTAGTGCAGAGCAAAACACCAGGCCTGGAGACACAGCTGAGCCTGGGGCTGAACGTGAGCACAGGCCAAGTGTGAAGGACAGCCCGAGCAGGGGCCACGATGGACACGAGAGCCCCGAGGCCTGTGCCCAGCCGGGGGGGTCTCACGGCATGGACGGTGACACGAGCCCCTGCGAGGCCAGCCAGGGAGCAGCCTGTGCTGCAGAACTCATTGCAGCCCCGGAGGGCTGCTCTGCTCGAGATCTGAGGGTTTGTGTCCAGCTCTGAGGCTACAGAGGATGACGTGGGAACAAACGCATTTCAGAGATCCACGTTTGACTCAGAAGAAAACCAATCCTTCCACAGCTGTGAAAGAAGTGTAGCTATTAATGCTGGTCAAAATGTAATCTCCCATGCTGATTTTTATGGGCTGCTTGGTAGTGGTAACTCCAGTGAGATGCAGTAGAAATGACTCCAGAAGCTCTCTGAACTGTGGGCATAGGAAGGATGTCTGGGAGTAAATAGCACTGCTAGAGTGTTTTCAAGATGTAGGTGGGGGGTGAGAGGAGCGAGGGGTCTGTGAGACGTTGTGGCCAGAGGGACAGGAGGCTGGTTTTGGTCAGGGGGAGGAGTTGCACAGAGCCATGTCCCGGGTCCTGAGGGGCGTTACGGGCCGCGGGTTGCCGCTCTCTGGCAGATGGGCAGCTCTGGTTGCTGACATTTTTTATGGCACGTAAGCAAAAATCAAAGATGTAACAGCAGTGATTGTACCAGGAGGTGGAAGCACTCTTAATACGTCGTGTGTATGCTTTGGGTGTTCTTGGGGCAGTTGCATTTGACTTTATGTAATCTATAGTGACTCTTGACTTTTATGACAGAGTCGTCAATATTTTGATGTATATGAAACTTTTGCTCATAATGGGCACAGTGTGGGCTGCATGAAGTAAACTAAAGCTCTCATGAACACTTTGCCTCTTCAGGAGGAAAGTGGGATGAGTTTTAGGGCACGGATAGAGGCCTTGCAGGACTGTGCTGTGTAATGTTAACCCTTGCAGCTGAATTAAAACAGTATTAAACTCTGGCGATATTTGCACTTTGGGAATGAGTACATTATTGTGTATGATCAGACTCCGCAAATGCCACTTTTAAAAGCTGTTAATAGGTTTGCACCTTTTTTTCTTTGACAAGGACATGTCCATACTTAAATTTTTACATTCATCATGGCTTCAAGTAGAACAAGGGACTGGGGTGGGGAAATAGGCGGGAGTAGGGGGCAGGCAATTTTTTTATGTGAATTTTGATATGAAGAGAAATTAGTCACTTATTTATACGATAGGCTTGATTCAAGTGTTTTTCAAAGTCGGTATTCCTAATGTGAAATGTGATACTATTTTATTTTTAGTAGTAAATTTGGATGTAGACTGACAGACATAGCTGAATGTCTTAATAAATTACATTTGAAGATTTTTACACCTGGTTATGTGATTCTTGCACTGAAATTCCACAAGTACATGTTGAGAGACTCAAGTAATAGCCTTCTCTTTCCCCTGATGAGTGAAACTCCCTATGCCTGTGTTCTCCCCCGTTTCCATTTCAGTGCTCTGTGTCCTGGTGGTACCTCCTGCCCTCCCCTCTTCTTGGCACCAGATCTTGACCAATGCAGAACTCAAAGGCACATTTGCTCCTGGAGGCTGTGCCTGCTGCTACTGAGCCCCACACAAACCCCAAATCTCTTTCTTCCCCCTGACAGGATTGGAACATCAGTTACACCATCTTCTGATTCTGTATCTCAGTTTTGTTTTCTTGACTATTAATCAGAAATTTGGATTTATCATGTGCTTTCACTGATCATCCCAAAACTTTTATTAGCAGCTTGGTATGTTTGGGGAAGGGGGGAAAAAAAAGTTGAGAATATTTTCTTGAACTCTTCTCTCCTGTCAGTCCATGGTCTGGGTCCTGCTCTTGCATGCCTGCATTTCTGTGGAATTGAATCTTTCTCAAAAGGATGTTTTGTCCCTACCCAAGCTTTCCATCTACATAATTTAGGCTGTTTCCATTCTTGCCACACTTTAAAAGTCTGTGGAGTCAGGAAATGGGGATTTTCTGGACAGGGCTGTTACGGGATGCTCCTTAGTATGGTGGGAAAAAGGCTTTCCCTTAATTCACAGGATGTGTTTGAAGGATACTCTCCTGAGCTCTGCTTGCTGTCCCCGGATGTGGAAAAATAATTCAGTAATGGGAAACTTGGGATGGAATCCCTCAGATCCATGGTAGGGAGCAAGTGTTACCCAAGTGGTAAGTCCAGGCTTGGTCAGCCTTGGGAAGGGAGGCTGGAGGGCTCTGTGGGCCACACAGGTGACCCCAGGGAAGGGAGGGAGAGGAACTCACCTGTGGGATCACCTGGGGGCAGAGGGCAGGAAGGAACCACGGGGGCCGTTCCTGTCCCACACTGTCACATCATTCTCATGAATGCAGGAAGTGGCATCGAAAAGGTAACACCCCCCTGAGGTTTGCTTTCCCTGCTGGTGCCCAGGAGCCTTTTGGCCATGCACCTTTTAATTTATAACCTGAATTATTCACAGCTAATAGGTAATGCCAGAGCTGTAGGAAAGGACTGTTGATTTCCAGCAATGTGGGTGAGTGCTCCTGGAGGCTCCTTGGGAGTGAACACACCAGCAGCAGGTTCAACAAACAACTGCCTGCCAGGATCACAGGATGGAAACGTGGATGTGGCACTGGAGGGCAGCCTGGCAGACCAGGAAGGTTTGTGATCCTTCAGGAAAAATGATGCTGCAGTATTCCCACTGGAGTGACCCAAAAGTGACAGTTCTGTGCTGGAAAAGGTGCTGCAAGACGTGGAGGCTCAGGGAGTCCTGCACCCTGCAAAGAGGGGCATGGAAACAGCTCTGATGCACTTCCCACTGAAAAATGGTGCCTTAAAGAGGGAAAGGAGAGGAAGGGGAGCAGAGAGAGGCTTGCAGAGTTCACAGGAACAGGGCTTGAAAGGTGATTTACCTCGAGGTACCAACACTTCATAAAGAGTTGTAAGAGCAAGGTGAGGTGGAGCATGTCCAGTGCCACAGGGTGGATGAGGCACAGCAAACTGATTGGAAAAATTCTGACTAAAAAACTTAAAGGAAGTGGTGAGTGTGTTCAATTTTTTTGCTTCGTTTTTGGTTTTTGGCGACTCAGAAATGCTGGCAGGATACCATTTTCTGAAAACTAGGGACAGCTAGCCTAAGAGAAACTTGAAAATATGCCTGCAAAGAATGGGGGTGGGTGGGAAATAAATACTGATAAGCCAAGCAGGCCGTATCTTGTAGGTCAGGAAGTTCAGGGATGAAGTGAGAACTGCCAAAACTGAGGCCAGCTTAGATCTTGCAGGAGAAATAAACTTGAGCAGGAGGAAAAGAGGGAAGGCTGCTCTGGAGGAGCAGGGAGGTTAGGAATGAAATGAACCGTCTGTCTCAGTGCTCTGTAGAGCATCTGGGTGAACACTCCTGACCTCTGTGCTCTGTCTGGTGCAGAACTCCCTCTTGGACACTGCTTTGAGTGGATTTTCTATTTCTCTGCAGCTGTGCATGAGTAAATGGGAAAAAAATGCTTTTGGAGTGTTTATGGTCAGGGTGTAACTGGAGGCTGAGGCTTGAAATCGTTTTCATGTGGACTCATGATGGTGGTGTGATTGATGAACACTTGGACTCAAAAAGATGCTTCCAGCTAGGTGATATAATGGGAACAGTTGGGAATTTTATGGCTGGTTGGTTTTTTGTTGGAAATAGGAGCGCTGATCACATGGTGAGGTGGTGTGTGTCTAGTCAGTCCTATCGGCTGTCCCAGCTCTGGGCTCAGGGAAATAAGTGGATTTACACAAGGTGGGATGACTCCATGAGGAGAGAAACAAGTCTGTGGTGAGGGGTTTGATTTGAAAGCCTCTCTTTGAGCTGCATTGCTCTCAGCTCCTTTGGTTTTTGGCAGTTTTGCAGCAGAGGAATCTATTTCCTTCCTTGTTCCTAGTGAAACACTTCATTTATGCCAAGGCTGAGAGTTCTTGAAATGCACAAGGTTTTCCACCATGGGAAAATCTCTTCTTTTGGAGTCTCCTTTTTCCTGATTAAATTAAATTTCTAAGCTACCTCAATAGTTTTCTAATATAGACAAAAATAACTGGGCTTAAGCTGTCTGAATATTTGAGAACAGACTTTTACATTTTTGCTAACTGGCAGGGACAGGCAAGGAGTTTGAATTCAATTGGTACAAAATTCAGATTTTCTCTGGCAAATAAAATACAAATACAAGAATAATGATATCAGTGTGTAACCGCCACCTGTCTCACACAGACACTTTTGGGGAGAACTGGCCATTTGAAGCATTTTCTGGTTTTGGGAAACATTCAGAATGACAGGAACCAGTTGGGGGTGGATCTGATGTCACTGGATTTTGTTTGGGTCGGGGCAGGAGGCATCCCTGGTTTGGAGCCTGCAGGATGGTGCAGAGTGCAGGGCTGGAAGGTCTCAAGAAGGAACAATCCATGGCTCTCTGCAGGTCTGTGCTGCTCCCAGGAGGGCTGTGGAGGTGGCCAGGGATTGGTGCTGGCTTTTTTCCTCCTGCAAGTTAAATTTGTATGAAGAGACCTTTAATTTTTCAGCTTTTCAGCCTCTGCAGTGCTTGGAGCTGTTGTGTGTGGATTGCTCATTCTAAGCCTCACAAAAATATTTGTGGGAAAGATTGACAAATACATTTCCCCTCTAATCTCTTTGGCTTTGCTGGCTTGAAGTTGTCAGTAAATGCAACCTTGAACTTCATTTTTCTTAGTGTTACAATGCTGAGTGTGGCAGTATTGCTGGTCCCCATTTTTGTCATATGTGTGTGCAGCCACATTAAAGATCACAGCTCACAGCCCCACACCCCAAAAACATCAGTTTTCTTTTTGACAATGCCTGTTTCTCTTAATTATGGCTGTTTTACTCCCTGGATCCTGCTAGACACCCAGGTGTGGTGGCTTCTCTCCTTGGTGCAGCTCTGCTGTGCCTGGGAATGCTGAGTGCCAGTGTGGGGAGCCTGGCCAGGGAAATTCCATCCCTTTTCATAAGGGAAGTTGTGATCCAGCTGATAAACCACGCAGCAAATGCATTCCGTGGCTCTAAGGTATTGGTTATTCTCTTGAAAACAAACACTTTTAGGGAAAAAGCTTGCCTGCTAGACTTGGTGAGCTCTCTACAACTCCCCCAGAAGCCCAAAGGTCGTTTTCCAGAGGGTTTTTCCTTCTCCTTTTCCCTGCAGAGGAGAGCAGGATGAAGATGACAGAGTCAGGAGGAAAAGGGAGGTTGGGAAGGGGAGAAGCAGGGGCTGGGTGCTGGCAGCTCATTAAACAACACTCAGAGAACATCTGACACACACACACAAACCTAAGGGACACCATCCTGGTTAAAGAGAGAAGTCACAGGAGAAAAATAATTTAAATACATAACCAACCCAAATTAAAAAAAAAAAAAAAAGGAAAAAAAGATTTCTTTGTGTTACAAGTAATTAGACACAAATTTCCCCAGCAGTTGCCATTTCCTGGAGGCTTAGAATCCACATCCTTAAATAAATCTGGTAGCTGAAACACTCTCAGCTAACAGCACAGCCAAAGACCAGACGAGCTGCAGAATTTTGCAGCAACAGATGTGAAAAGCCCAGGTCTGCAATGTGGATAAATTACTTCATGCCCAGGAATTTTAAAATGTAAAAACTGACTCAATTGGATTAAAATAATCAATTGAATAGGTATCTGGTATTTATAAATGAAATGATATACAGTTTCTTAATTGACCATAGTCTGAGTTTTCTTTAAATTGATTGTTCCCTTCTAGCTTGGGGAAAAAATGCCAGCTGGAATGCAGAGAGATTAAGTTTTATTTATTTTCCTTGCTAAGAGCCACATTGTGCAATTTAAAAGGAAATGTCCTTGAAAGATGGGTTCCTTTATAAACTGTTTCAGCCCTTGTTTGTTTTCAGATGGAAATTAATTTCTCAAAAGCCCTCCGTGTTAGAAAGTACGTGTTGATAAGTAAAGAAAAATGAAAAATTGTAACCTGCTAAAATACATCTTGTTTTTGAGATACAAATCTTTGCATGGATGTGGCTGAGTTTGGGGTACAGCTGATCTGCTCAAAGGCTGGTAATGATCTCCACCAGCACAGGTGGGAGGAAAGAGTCTGAGGGGGAGAACCTCAGACACAATGGTGGAGTGTTGCTGGGATTCCTCATCATGCTTTGATGTGCTAAAATATTGATTTTAGGTGAGTGTGTCAGCTCCTTGTTGAGCTGAGGGGCTCTGGGCTGTGCCTTCCCTGTGCCCAGCTGTCCCACATGGCAGGGAGGGGGCACTGCTGCTGTCAGAAACATTTTCACCAGAAAATGGGCCTGTTCTCACCAGAAAACACAAGGTTGATTAATTCTGCTGGGGTTTCAGCAGGTGGGTC